TTTTCTTGGGAAAGGTTTCTTCTCTTCTGCTGAACCGGCCTCCTTCCTTCCTCAACTGCCAACTTATGCACAGCCGTCTCAGGCGCTACCCCGGGCATTTCTTTAGCACTCCACGCAAACAACTCCGCGAACTCCTTCAACAGAGCGACCAACTTCTCGACCATTTCGGGAGGCGCCTGGACCGAAATCCTGATCTGCCTTTCCGGTCGCTCCTCATCCAGGGGGATCAACAATTCTTCGTCGGCCGCCTCTGCTCTAGGCGCCTCTTCGGAAGTGATCGCATTGATCCTTTGACTTTTACGCGGACGCACGCTCTTAAGCATAGTATAAATGGGGGCGCCTCTTCCTCTTGCAATGCCCACTCCCTTCGGCGCTATGAACTTCAACGTCTGATGACAAGTGGACGCCACCCCATTGAACAAGGCCAAAAGGGGCCTGCCGAGTATGGCATTGTAGGGGGAGGGGCAATCCACAATCCCAAAATCGATAGCATGGGTGACCCGCTGCTCCTCGTCGCCCAAAGTAACAGGGAGGCGCACGCGCCCTATTACCTTCGCGGGCGCCCCTGAGAACCCGACGAGCATCGAGTCCGACGGTCGTATTAAGTCAGGAGACAAGTGCATGCGCGCCACCGTATCCTTGAACAGCACGTCCATGGAACTCCCCGTGTCCACAAGCATCCTTTTCACCATGCACCCCGCCACTATTCCTTGAATTTCCAGCGCCTCCAAAGAAGGTATCCCATAAGCTTCGTCAGGCACCTGGTTGAAACTAATGCACACCCCCTCGTGCCGATCAACCGATGCTGCTCTTAGGCGCCTGTTAGCTTCCAATTTTTCTCTCAAATCTCCGGTGCCAGTAATCGCGTCCACCGTAAGCCTTACCTTCTCAGGCGCCTTCTCCTGGTCCAGCTCGAACGGAGGCGGGGGGAGATCCTCCTTGGGCCCCGAACGGGCCACATATGCCCTATGCACCCTCTCTTCCGGCTTTTTGACGAACTCGTTAAGCATGCCCCTGTCCACCAATCCTTGTAATTCAGTCTTCAACTGGTAGCAATCAACTGTATTGTGCCCCCGCTCTCGATGGAAGTCACAATATCGATCCAGGTTCTGCGGGTTGGGTTGCCCCCTCATAGGCCCTGGCCATCTCACGTGGTACCCCTTATCCTTCACATATTGCAACACATTCTTTGGCGAGTCGCTAAGCTCCGTGAATTGATTCACTTTAGGCGTCGGGCGCCCCTGATCACTCCTCCGCACCGGTGGGACCGCGGCTCCACCATAGAATGGCCTTGACTCGGGCGCCTGCCTTCGTCCATCTCCTTCCTCTCCCCTAGGGCGGCGCCTGTCGGCCCGTCTTGACGCTAGCGCCTCCTCTAACACTATAACTTTCTGCACCCTTCGATCCAAATCTTCCGTAGACACTACATCCCTTTTAGCTAGCGCCCGACAAAGTTCCTCACTGGTGGTGCACTCCTCGAGGAGGACACCAAGTACCGGGGGCTGCACATCTCTCACCGCCATGGCCACCGGGATCCATCGCTCATAGAACTCCCTCAAGGTTTCTCCCTCCTTCTGCTTGATCTTGAATAGTGAGCCCACGGTTAGGGTGCGCCTCTTTCTACTTGCGAACTTAGCCAGGAACATCGCCGCAAACTGCTCAAAGCATTCTATGCGCCCTTCCTCGATCTGATGGTACCAATCTAAGACGACGCCTGAGAATGTGGAGGGGAACACCTTGCATAAAGTTGCGTCTGAACTGTTGTACAGCTGCATTTTGGTGAAGTAGCTGTTGAGGTGGTCGTCTGGGTCCGCCGTACCGTCGTAGGTGGGAAGCGGCGGGATGTTGGTACTAGCGGGCTCCATGAGCACGCTCCGGGCCAAAGGCTGTCTTACCACAAATTGTCGATGTGGGCGCCCCGGCATCCACACATTCCTCTCTCCCTCCGAATCTCCGTAATCAGCCAGGCGCCTCATGCTGGCAAGGCGCCTCAGCGAGCTGGACTCCCCTTCAGTTTCCATCGTACGCTCCCTCTTCCTTACTCCGGGACTTGGGGCGCCCTCCTTCAACATTTCCACCTCTCTCCTTAACATCCCAATGGCCTTGTCTTGATCGGCTATGATCTTGAACAGTTCCTTCTTAGTCACCGAGGCCCCATCTGAATCCGGGCGCGGGTCTTCACTTCCCTCATCTTCCCCTATGCTGGGCGTCCCTCCTCCTGCTTCTTGAGATGCCTCCTCCATGTGTTGCTCCTCCATCTCGCTTCCACCCTCCATCGAAACTAGGCGCTTTCAAGTTGTGTTCTCCCCTTCCTGGCGCGCCAATTGTTGATGCCCTCTCGATCTACCGTCTCTTCTTCCGTACCAGCTGACTCTCTCCCAATGAAGCCTGCACTCACAGAGGTGGGCCTTGTGGCCCGTTAGTCCTCCAACGCTCAAGTCAGTATCCTTCTTAGAGAGAGAAGTGCTGGTCATGCACAATTTTTAGCGAGAGAAGCCCAAATTGAGTAAATGCTTACCCTCCTCGCTATTTATAGCCGATCATTGCTTACCTGGACCTTATCGTACGGACTTCCACGTCAGCCCTACCTTTAGTGCGGGTGACCCGGGGCGCTTCCTCCAAAGGAGATTCCCGGCGCCCTCTCTAAATACACAATTCCCACGTGCACACCCAGGCCCCTCCGGTGCGAGTACCCCTAGGCGCCTAGTGTATGCAACTTCCAACGTGCCCTTGATCCAAGCCCGAAGGCGCCTATCATGGCCCACCCCATATTGACTGGGCTCACCTTTCCCCGAACTACTTAGGCTTCGTGCTCTTAACTGGGCCTCACCCATACATCGAGGCCTCCTTATTCGTATACCCCCAACAGAAATACATTGGATTATCTCGGAAAAAAAGGAAAAAGAAAAAATATCTATTTGGTTAACAAGTTTCTTTATTTAGGAAAAGGTATTTTTCAAATTATGGTGATATATCATATATAGGTTGGTTTAAGAGAAACTAATTAAAAAAAGGAATTTTGTACTTGAAATTATGTATTTTATATTAACTTAATTTTCTAATTTCATTCATCCAAAACCATTTTCCTATGTCAAGGATCCAACACATTTTCCACTTATAAATAATGAAATTTATGTTTTTAATGGTTAATATTTTATGCAATTTCATCACAATTGTGTAAGTAAAACTTGGACTCAACGCAGAACGTGTGATGTCACATTCTGCTTGGAGATGAAGGGGTTACATCACGAGGCAAAATCACGACGCGTGGGAAAACAAATAACTGGCACATGTGAATAAAAAATGAAAATGTTGCGGAAGTGAAGTGCAACTCGAGAGTAAACGAGGGTCCCATACGAGAAATATGATATCATAGTTAAAAGAAATCGACATAAATTAGTGACTTTTCTGATTTATTAACCAACTAAACTCTTATTTTCACTATAGATTAAGAAAAATCTAAGAAGAAAGCTTACAAGACCATGCAATTGGACCACTGCAAGTCAAGTTGGTATCCTTATATATTGTGAAAAAACCTGCACCAAAACACGATCAATTTGACAAGCTCTGGTGTGTCTAACAGTTTTGTCAATATGATATCACGTTGAGTTTACTAGTTTCATATTAAAAAACAATATTATACCAAAATTTTACCTGTTGAATGAAAGATTGCACCATCAAATTGACGAATTCTAGCTCTACTAATTAACACAATAAAACCTCCAATACAATACGGGTAAATGACACATTTGGTCACTGAGATTATTAAATTGTGTCATGTTTAGTCACTAGAAAAAATTAATATCAATTTTGGTCACTCGAATTGCCGAAACTGGTCAAATTTAGTCACTCTCCCGTCAATTTCCGTCCAACTCCATTAATGTAGTTGGACGGAAACTTTTGGGAGAGTGACTAAATGTGACATGTTTCAGTAATCCGAGTGACTAAATGTGACATTTTTCAATAATTCGAGTGACCGGAGTTGGACAGAGGCTACAGAAGAGTGACCAAATGTGACCTGTTTCAGTAATTCGAGTGACCAAAATTGATATTAAATTTTTTTAATGACTAAATATGACACGATTTAGTAATCTCAGTGACCAAATATGTCATTTACCCAATACAATAACTGGATTCCTATTTAACGCCCTAACTTTTTGAAAATTTCGCCCTAAATTAACCAAACAGACAATACTACCCCCAATTTCTAGAACGATCGCCCCAATCATCACCCCAACCCCTAGCGCCCCAACTGCTCATCGCCCCTCCAACGCCCTCTGCTCGTCGTCGGCGAAAGACTCTTCACCCACGCCCCCAATCCATCGCCTAATCACCAGATTGGCTCTGCTCGTTGCTCGGTCCACGCCCTTTGCTCGTCGCCGCGCAAGATTCCTCCCTCTGCTCGTCGCCTCCAATCCATGCCCCTAAATCCCTCTGCTCGTCGCCGGTGGAATTCTCCTCCGCTGCTACTCCGCTCAAGGACGAAGAAGAAATAGAGGCGACGGCCGGGTCGGACCGAGGTGTTATTTCTTCCTCCTCACCATCGCTCGGCAGCAGCAGCATAGATGATGGAACCCGATTGGCGCATCGAGCAGCCATGGGGGCGACGACGACGGGACGGACCGAGAATCAGAGCAGGCGCGCGACCGCCAAAGCAGAACAATGGATCTTTCTCATCTTCTTCGTCCTTGAGTGGGACAGAAGGGGAGGTGGAGAAGAGAACTTCCACCGGTGGGAATTGGGCCGGATGGGATTAGGGCGATGACGGCGTTGACAAGGCGGACCGAGCAGCGCAGCGGAAGGCAGTTGCAGTGGCGACGGCGACTTCCAGTTGCGGTGGCGACGATGACTCCCAGTCGAACAGCGGTGACGATGCAGAATTCTAGGGCGAAGATTTGTTCGGGATTGGGAATAAAAGAGTATGGCAAAAACGTCAAGTTGCAAAATTAGGGCGACAAATTTTAAAAATATAGGGCGATAATTAGTACTCCCCATACAATAACACGCTCCAAGTTAGAACCGAACAAGCAATGGTGTGAATAACAAGTAACAGTCTTATCCTCTCGCAAAGAACTGAAGAAGAATTTACAATTGGAAGATTCGCATATAAGATCCTACTGTCACAAATCAATCCTACCAAATGCGGCTGGAGTAGCAGCCTTATACTAATAGGCCCACGGGCCACGACCCTGTGCCATACTTGCTAGATTTGGGCTTCAGGATGAGAGAGAGGCCCAAATTCTCCCAATCTGCTGGTAGTGGTAGCAGCCATTCACTTGCTATTACTAGCTGCTAAGGCAGCTTTCTAGAAAGTAATCTCAAGACAAAAAGCTCTAACTACAGAAAGTTAAGAAGAGAGAAGGGTAGTTATAAAAGCTTCATCCTTGATTACGAAACAACACCTTTAATTGGTGGGGATGATGCCACTAATACAAAAACCACAATACCAAAAAAGCACCTTGCTGCCTGATTGAACAACCATTACATAATTTACACTTTCAGGCCAATTGCTCTACTTGGGCACCATCCCTATCTAACACTCCCAAAAGGAAAAGAGAAAAAGAAGATGGACAGATCCCATTATATGCCCTAATTCAGCAGTTAACATCACCAATCAACATAGGGGAGGAGAGATGGAAGAACACTATATATGTAAGAGAGAGAGGGGGCAAAACCAACTACCTTTGCAATCTGAAGAAGACCCACTCGGCAAGCCAATGGAAACAACTTGGCAAAGAATGGCGAATTTAGATGAGAGATGATATAAGCTTCTTCATTCCTCTTCCTGTTGTTTAATCTTCTCGGTTCGTATGTATGTTAATATCACAAAACCTTGATCCCAATCAATATTGATATGTGCAAGAAGAGCGCTGCAACGGCTAGAGGCAGCAGCTCCAAGAGCAGGTCGCTAGAAGAATTACCTACACTACTCAACTGTCCTGCATTGATGAAGTCCTTGCTAGAAGTTAAAGAGACATTTACTGATGTCGAGCCTGAAAAGGGGTGGGGAGAACAGAGGAGCTGTCAGAGATTGAGAGTGGAAAGGAAAAGGGAAATGACAAAGGAAGATCCCGATATTGAAAGAACATCAGATTTATCGAACTTACAGTCGTAGTTGGTCCATCCAATCCGCTGACGGACCAGATCGTATACAAAGATCTTGTCTTTAAGAACAAGATCTGGACAGGAGTACAAGATAACAGATCAAAATCAGAACATTCTTAAAAGCATTGCCTAATGATGTAAAGACACAGATTCACGAGTCTCAAACCTCCTAAAATGGTTAGTCCTTGACCCTTCTGGAAACCTAGGCACCACATCCCACCACCATCCAGCTGCAAGAAATTATGGCCAAGAGTTAGGATGTAAAAAGTGAATTCATTGCATATGGAAGAAGAACCAGATAGCCAAGGTTGGAATTGGTAACAGCTTACATAGGAACCTTGCTGAGAAAGGTACTCCTCTGGTCTTAAGTCCATTGAAGCACCACCAGCAAATTTGAAGCTCACCGGTGGAAACATATCAAATACACTGCACATGAAGGTAGAAAAATAAACATCGCTAAGGAAAAAGGAAGTGGCAAAAAGTCGTCTTCTAACCATTTTCATAGCAAACATAAGTGTGAAAACCCCAGTCATTTGAATGCTAGAGTGGTCAAACCTGGAACTGGAAGTGAATAGGTAACACTGGTATCCCCTACTTATTGTGGGAGTCGCAGATTGTGCGACTGCAGCATTGACCTGAAATTTCAGCAAGCTGTTACTTTTCCAGCAAACAGAACAAAGTGCTCCAGAAACAGCAATCTCACACAAAAGTTATACTATAACTACTGTGAAGGGAGCACTTCGAAGCCACTCCTCTCATCTTATTTGAATTTTTTGGCCTTAAAATCCATTCATATCTCCTGGTTTCAGTGTTCATGAACAGCACACTATAAAAAGATTTCTCTAGCGGGAGGTTACAGCTGATAGAATCATACAAGATACGGACAGATGTTTCGGGTGGCATGTTTATAGATTCACCTTCCAGGACACGATAATGATGTGTAGGAACATACTTGTCCCAAGTTACTTGAACTCGGTAACAAATTCAATCCAGTCTAGAATCAATGTTAAACAAGGCCACCGAAGGCAGAAAGAGTTACTTACAGCATTCACTAAAGGATCATAAGCTTCCTCCACAAGGTACGCCAAAGTTGTTCCAGTGTCAACTATCGTCCCTCGATCAGTTGACGTTGAGAAGGCTACTGGGTCAATAGGTAACACCTGCCCATTGACTGCTATGCTTTGTAGATATAAATTGTAATGAGCCCTGGAAATTTATAGATGAAGCTAAGTCAAAATTTGTATTTCACTACCAATTTTACAGCAAAAGATTACAAACAAAAAAAGTAGTATAAAACATTAGATGAAGGGGGAAAAAACTACTCACTGTGATGGGACAAGTGAAGTATAGATGATTCCTGGCTCCAAAATCTCTCCAAGAACAAATATACCACCTCCACTGCCCTGCCCTTTCAAACAATGAGAGAAAACTCGAGGTGTTATTCCTCTAGACGATAATTGTGATATAACCGAGAGGGCACCTTGGCCAAATCCAAAAATTCCATCAACCGCTTTGTCCGTCTTAGTCAAGTCACCACCCTGGTACGTGCTACAACTGTCGCCAAACACCATTACACACAAAAATAAGCTTCGATATGAGAAACGAAAGCAAGAATTGCAAGAAGTACACAAGACCACAGTAACTCGTGCATTCACAAACCAGCAGCACAAGAAATCAAGGATAATCCTTAAACATTTACTACTACTTTTACCTTCAACAAATCAAAATCAATAGACCTAATATATTCCATAAGAAGAAAGTGCAAGCACATAGAGGTTTCAAACATGAATTGTTCTGTTGAAATCATCTCTTCAGCTAATACATGTTTACTACACATTCCAAATTCGCAAACCAAAATAGACCAACTTACCCGAAGGCAACAAGTGCTGACGAGTTGGCAATCATTGAACCAGACAAAATCGAATCAAAGTAGAACGTATCAGTTATATAAACACCAGAAGTTCCACTCCCATCTCCATACTGGAATGTGTAGCCACACTGACCGCTCTCCGAACACTGTGTAGAACTGGTTCGAGCAGCTGCAGTACAAATTGGGTCTGCACAAGGAACCAGACCACTAGTGGAAGAGCCCGCAGCATCGAAGAAACTAAGCTGGATCTGCAGCATACCGAAAAATCATGAGATGCAAAGAACACCTTTCAGATCACAGGAAGCGAAAAGTTAGAAGAAGATAGGAATAAGAGCTTACCCCTAGGCCACTAGAATGTGGACAATTACTACAGGAGGCACAGTTAACCCATAATATGTCACTGCCAGTATCAATCTGCACGTTGAACTCTCTAGGAGGAGAGCCGAGTTTCACTTTCGTGAAATAAAGTCTGTCAAAACCAAGTGTTTTAAAGAAGAATCAGTGCCCTGCAATTAAGCAGTGGAGAAAGACACTCTAATGTCAATTTCAAGCTAGACAGTGTGGAAGAGCACAAAGGAAACCAGGGCAAAGTTAATCACACAGTGAAGGGGCTGGGGAGATCCATGGATTCCTGGTTGAAATAGATACCTCCATAATGGGAGACAGCAATGAACAAGAGAATAAGTCAAATAACCATGAAAACCAAATTAGGTGATCACTGTACAGACATAAGACCAAATCCAATTACAAATGTACAGACCTTCCATCAGAAATTCTCGCCCAAGACACAACATGGCCAAAAATTCTCATTTAACTTCCATTCACTCGAGAACTTGTACAAGATTTCTTCAGTGCCACAGGTCAACAGTGAGCAAAACTACCCAAAATTTGAAGAGACTTCCCTAATTCCAGAGGCACCCAATAACTGAAAACCCTCGTTAAAGAAGCGGGAACTTCAGTAGTTCAGGGAAACATAAAATCCCCCGCAGAACAAAGCTAAATTAGCTGAGCTCACAAGAACCCCAAATCCCCCCCCCCCCCCCCCCCCACCACTCAGAAATAAACTCCTCCTTCCCTCTTCAATCCAGACCAAAAAGAACCCAGAGCAACTAGCAAGAAAACCTTGTCGAAGAAAATGAAATCCCATTTGAAAAGAAGAAGTTACCCGACGAGTGATGGATCCGGGGAACCTTGGACTGAGAAGTCGACCACGCCGCCAACGAGGCCTTGCAAGAGGCGAGCGTGCCTGGCTTGGTCCCAAGCTCGGAGTTGCTCAATGGGAACCGGGTAGTTCAGAGGCAGAGCCCTCTCCAGGAGGAGAACACTAGCACAGGAAACTGTCGACAGAGGAACGGCGGCGAGTATGATCAGCAACAGCACCGACCAAGAAGGCCGAGTGAGGAAAACCCGCATTACTTTTCGCCCTTCCTTCGACTATTTTCTGGGGGGCTGGAGGGGGACTTTTCTGCTTGAGAAATGAAAGATTCAGAGATCGTGGTGCCGCTTGCTTCTGCTGCGCATTGAGAGATGATTGGACACGGGAGAGCCGCGGAAATGAGCAGCAGAAGAAGGAAGGAAGGAAGGAAGGAAGGAAAGAAAGAAAAGATTGCTGATGGTTTGGAAGCTTTTTTTCTGCTTTGAGTTGTCAACCGGGATTTTGCCGATTGCCAAATGAAATAAAATAAAAAAAATTAAAGGAGGTGGGAACGCCAAAGGACGGTATTGCCCCAATCCTCTTTTTGGCTTCGCAGATTCTGGGCGGTAAAATTGTTTGAGCTCTTATTTTTTAGATCAAGGTGTCCAACGGTTAGTTTCGGATCGAAACTAATTCATGTGAATTGTAATTCAATTGTGAAAAATATTCTAGAATCACATCAATAGTGTATTAGGTTTGGATTTATTTGATTTTTTCTTCTTCAAATATCAATTTGGTTCATATTCTTTAGTATTAAATTTTTTGGACCAAGGATCGCACCATATTATATTAGGTTTGTTATGGTTCGATCTGAGTGTTGGTTTGGTCTGGTACAGACCAAAATGTTGCACACCCCTATTTTTACCCATTCTACATGTTTTAAAAAAAAATGTTGCTCATACCAATCCGCTGAATGATTGTGGTGTTAAACTTTCTTCTCAAAGATTTTGATTTTAATGTATGTTATATCACGTTTTCTTTCTCTTCTTACTTATTGAGACGGGTATAAAATACGTTTGTGTTATTACTATCGTGAAAAGATTTATGCCGATATTTGATTAATGTACATAGCAAAAGAATATCATAGCTTTTATGATCTTTCTATGAATTATCAAAATTATCTAGAGAATATCTAAAATTCAAGAGATTTTTCTTTTCCCTCCCGATACTCTAATTCACGAATTGGAGATACAAACATCAAGAGACTAGGGTATAAAGAGGTTATCATTGTTCCTCGTGTTCTTTGCAAATGAGAAGTAACCTTGTGTAAGATTTGGGTTTGGGCTTGTAGATAGGTTGAAGTATATTGGACGTTGCTAAGTTCTATGAACTCTGGACTGTCGATAAATCTTGCAATTAATTTGTAACTTTACCTAGTAGTTTTTACACCACCCATTTCTTTAGTTTATGGCTCATTTATTTGAGTTAAGAAGGTGATAGACCTATAAGTTAGTCCACTTGTTCTAAATTCTAATCACTCATTACAATTCATATTATTATAATGGATGATTGCTTACTTGCATGCAATGGGGTTCTTTGACTATATTTGGCTAATCTTTTAGCCATAATAGAGTAGCCGTGGAAGTAACTTAATACTCCAAAATTTAGCCACGAATTGGCATGTTTTCTAGGCACTTTGTTTATACCCGTGATTTGGGGAAGAAAAAGTTTCAAAATAAAATAATTGTTAAAACTCCCATCACCATTATAAAAAAACAAAAAAAAAATTTGTTAAAGGAAATGAGGAATTCATCAAAAAATTTGTTAAAGAAATTTGGCAAAGCAAAGAAAGATGTTGGAGTGGAGTGTGACAACAAGAATCAACCATGCAATTTCATATTTTATAAAGGAGTCAAACTATAAAGATGAGAAAAGGAATTCGCACCTTTATTTCGAAACCCAAAATAATTATTAGCAAAATGACTCTTTAATCACCCAATTCAATTCAAAATCCAAAACTTGGGTTTATGCAGCCTATAACTTGTTTATAATAATGTTAAGACTATTTTCATGTTTTTTTCTCTCTATAAATAGGAAGTTAAAGAGGAAATTACCAAAATGGGTATAATGTACACAAGTTATAGCGCGAGATCATATATAGTAAATCAAATAGCAAGGTTGTAGTGTGATGATTGGTCTCTTCAATTCCCAGTTATATGAACTTCATTCGACTATTGTGCTAATAGTTTATTTGTAGTCGAATGTTTGTTGCGTTAATAGTTTATACAATTTATTTCTTGTAGTCGGAATGTTTGTTGCCTTAATAGTTTATACAATTGCTTTAGAGTCTAGACATTAATCACTATGTAGTATCAAACGTGAATCCGCTCCACGCTCTTTGAATTGTGTTTGCCCAATATTGATTAACTGCTCGATAGCGAATCCATATTACCCCTATCAACTCAAGAGAACGAAACTGAATCGGGTGGACCCGTTAAACATTAACTAGCGTCCTTAATTATGGTTTTCAATTTGGTCCTTTCACATGTCTCAATCAGCCATGCATGATTATGAAATTTCAACATTAATTGGGATATGTGATTATATGAACCGTGTTTGCATGGTCACTCTCTCAAATCCCACGTTGGTGAGGATTGGCATTTCTTGTTCCTTTTCTCTCTTCTTTGACAAGATCATTTTTATCTCCTCTAAATACTATTCCGTCCCTGTGTTTTTATTTACGATCTAAACAATAAAGGTAATTTTTACAGAAGAAAAAAAAGAAGATACAGGAGAAGAATGATATATTACCATGTCGTCATCATCTCCTTGGAGAATCCAAGATGGCACTCATTTCTACTCCTACAGATCCAGCAACACCTCTGCTTAATGGTTTGAGCTTCTCCGCCTCCTTCGCGATTTGGATGTCACATGGTGAGCAGTGTTGATACAGTACTTTTACAACAAAGCGTGGAATTAGTGCGGCTACAACCACACCAAGCAAGCAAAGCCAAAACAACCCAGTCTTTGCAGATTCAAAAATGGCCCTGCAGATTTAGAAAAGGAGCTTGCAACCATCAGTTTCTATGGATTCACAAATGGAGGTTGGAACATATTGCATTAAACCATTAAGGATCGAGACCGAAAGGTGCAGTACCAGTAACCAGGTAAAATGGGTATGGCATCAATGACCATTATAGAGACGAAAGTTGCCAAAATGGATCCCCATATCGCTGCATGCATGAGCCAATTCCACCGGTTGATGTCCATTGCCAGATGAAGATTGACCAATATGACGACCCCCAGCGTCCAGAGATCCCCTATGCTCGCTGCATCGATGCTGCTAATCCGGTAGGCAAAGAAAGGCCCGAAGAAAACGACCACGCTTTGCCACAGGGTGTCGATCATCGTCAGCCAGAACAACTTCGAGTTGTAATTTTCTCGTCTTTGCCCAGCTCCGTATAGCTGAGGATACTTGAGCAGAGTTTTCCGTCTCAAGTCCTTGTCGAGAACACCAACAATGACCGTTGGCACTGCTGTATAAATTACCGAATACAGCACGCTGTTCCACTCGTTAATAGCAGTCGTCAATGTGAAAGCGGTGAAGGGCACATACCTGCAAAGAAGAATTTCAGCGGACATCAAGGGCCAAGAACTGTGTATATTGTTCAGCTTTGAACCCTTACATCTTACTTTTAACACCCTGTGGAACAAGTCACATCCTAACACGAGATGCCTTCACATTCGTATACTATGCACAACTAGAAGGACTCACCCAATTAACCTACGTTGGCAAGGACATAATTCTTTTTGCCATCTAAATCTGGCCATATGTGATCAGAGGCAAACCGTATTCAGCAGTCCAATTTTAATACACGAGCACTACATATGACCAGGTTTTTTTCTTAAATATTCAGTTCAAGCTTTCACAGCTGAGAATATTACGCAATCCATTCGGCACTTGCTACATACGATGAGCAATTCAGCAGGACTATCCGCATACCATTAGGAAAGTAGATAGCAGCTACAGCATAAAGGTACTTAAAAAGCACAAATTTTTATATTGTTTGTAAATGAACCTGAACCAATTACTCGGGGGTTTTATCATTTTTCGAAAAAAGGTAAATGCCAAGGCCAGCCATCTTAAACAACTCTTCAAATTCAAACAACTAAACTAAGTCGCTACGAAGAAAACAGCTGAACATTCCTCATATTTGACTTACCAAAACAAGACGAGAACAAAAATCGCATTCCTGTAGAAGTTGTAAATTATCATGTAACCCATTCGCTGGTAATTCCAATGTCCGTGGACCAGCAGAAGTGGAACTAAGAATCTGAACTGCCCCATGGAAAAATCAGATGCCATTACAGCTTGCCGACCCTCCTGCCCACTGATTCCAACTCCTACGTCAGCCATTTGGATCATTGAAACATCATTTGCACCTGTTAAAACCCACCAACAACTTCCCACGTTAGCTCAAATAAGCAACGAAACCAATAGCATATATGCCGCAAAGTATTCCCTTCTGGAAGCATTTTAGCAAAGACTCACCGTCCCCAATGGAAAGGGTCATGTCAGCTGTCCTATTCTTCACAAGGGCAACAATTCCAGCCTTTTGCAATGGAGCTACCCGACAACAAAGGACCACAGAGCATTTGCTGGCTAATTCAAAGAGCTGCAGAAAACAAATAATTAAATTAGCCAAGGTTAAGAAGAAACACATATATTGTTGAACGGGGAAAGATTGATGTGAATTAAAATGTCGAAACCTGTTCTTCAAGTTCACTATCAAGGATATAAACAAGGCTGGTTCCATCAATAATCAAAGCAACCAAGCTTCCAGAAGATGCAGAAATTTCTTCATTATCAGGAGTCTCGGACACATTGTTGAGCTTTTTACATACAAGCAAGGCATCTGATAAACTCTTTCTACATGACTCCTTGGAGTTGCTGTTGACAATAAACTGCTTCATTTTGTTGGTCAAGAGCTTTGAAGAATAGCCAATCGATATGGCGGTTTCTTGTTTATCCCCAGTTAAAACCCAGACTTTAATTGCTGCAGTCCTCAGCGCTTCAATAGCTTCCGGGACACCTTCTTGAAGTTTATCTTCAATAGCAGAAGCACCCAGCAAGCTTAGATGGTTTTCAACATTTGTGGCAACCTTCCGAAGCAAAGCAGCGCGGCCAATCAAAGCAGTACTAGCAGCCTCAAAGGAAGAGTGCCACTGCTCAAATTCTGAATCACTCAATTCACGCATCCCAACGACAAGTGTTCTCAGGCCAAGGGAGGAGTAAGAGTGAAGATGGCCTTCAGTTGCACGGATTATGCCCATGCTTGAGGCTCTATCGATGACAGTGAACATGGATGTATCAGCACCCTTTACAAAGATTTTGACAGACTTGTCAGGGAAGCCTAATATGACAGACATCCTCTTCCTATCACTGTCAAACTCATGCAAACCCAAAACATTGAACCTGCAATAACGGCAATGAGCAATAAGAGGACTGGGGACACAACAGTATACAAAGAAATTCTTTGACAGAAATGTGTTGGGAAAGCAGGAAAGGGTATTAGTACAGGGATTGTGCACATAAATGAATGGGCAGAGCAAGCACTGAAAATACACTGAGAGATTCAAGAACCAAATCGCATGTTCAATGTAACAGTTAATGTTATCAGAATATGCAAAGTAATATTTTCACTTCATCTAACCCAGACTGGCAGTGTGTGTTATCATAACTTAGTGGAGATATAAAGATTGATGAAAGAAAACATTGTGATGACAGCATGGGAGAACATAATGGGAGAATATACTTGGGCAGAGTCAAGGGGGAAACAAAGGTAGGAGAGATCAATTAAATCAAGAAAAAGAAAAGAGCACCTTTGCCTTTGACCCAAAACATCAATCACTATGTGGCCGGAAGTTCGTTCTATAAGCATAAAACCATATGCAGCAGCAGCATAAGCCAGAGCTTGTTCATCAGGAGATTCCCCTTGGTAATCCATCAACTTAACACAGGGATCAGATGTGTCAACAATGAGAGGCACGATTGTATTACAAGCTGCTAAAGCAAGGAAAAAATCACGGATATGTTCAAAATCCTCTGACATCTTTCCACCCCTTAACGCTTGTAGAAGCTTAGGATCAACTTTCACCCTCATCTTTGGACTCACAGTTGCCTCACCAACTGCATCACACAAGAGAACACAAGGAAATCAGACTCATAAGAAAAACTGAAAGGCCAGACTGGGAAAAGACTGTTAAAGACTACTGGCAGCAATAAAAAAATTTACCTTGAACAGAGTGTCCTGCTTGTTCATCACCAGAGGTAACCTTCCTACCGCTGTAATCTACTCCCCATATGCTTGCACACTGGAACTCCATCTTGTTCTCTGTGAGTGTCCCGGTTTTGTCTGAGAACACATACTTTATCTGCCCTAAATCTTCATTTATATTCAAAGCCCGGCACTGAAATCTTGAATTTGATGCCTCATCATACATATGGGCATCCCGGATCATGAAATAAGCCTGACCAACCCGAACAAGCTCCATAGAGATGTACAATGAAATAGGAATCATGATCTGAAACACAATTACTGCCATCAGGAATGTGAAGAATATCTCCATTCCCCATCCATAATAGTTATAGTTCTCTGGCTCATCTTCATTGTAATCCTTTCTTCTATAAAAAGGCATGGTGTCTAACTCATCTCTGTGCCGCCTCAACCATACAGCAGCACATACAGATGTAACTGTACACAAGGCAACAAGAAACAGAGAGAGTATGGTGATTTCCAAGTTCATGCGAGTCTCAAGCCTGCTTCTCTTCGAAGGGGCTCCTGAGCTATTCAGCATAGCTTTGGTCTCAGCTCCACAATACACAGCAACCCCAAGAATTGAAGCCGTATTCTTCAGGTCACAGCCCCGAAGGATAATATTGGAAGGTCCAAGTGACAGGCGCTTCCCATCAATCTCCATGTTCCCATGGAATCCATAGATATTCCTATTAGGTTTCTCACACTTGATCAACCCAGTAAACCTTCCATTCTCAGGATTCTTTGAGAGGGTCTCTTGCTTTGCATACCGTGTCTTCAAATTTGACTCTCCATCCAAGTTGATGGTCTGCACATAAGCAACCCCTGTAGGGTCACTGGTGGAGAGCAAGACCATATCACAAGGTAGAGTATCATTGGCTTCCACCTTGATTATTTCACCAACCTGAATATCCTTCCAACTCTTTTGTTGGAACTGACCATCCACCAAAACCCACGCCAATCTATTGTTCTCAATCTTATCTGCCCTATGCCTTCTCCAATCCTCATAAGCATCCTTAACTGCTGTAACTAGCAACACAGAAGCAAGTGGCAAGATGGAAGCTCCCCGCCCAAAAACGGCGAGCTGGGGCAACTGATTCAGGACAGCTATGATAAGGAAATAAATGTATGCAACTCTATGGAACTGTTTAAACAAATTTCTTGGCAAGAAAGAAATAACAGAGTACTTTGCAGTCCTAATGGAGTTCCTAGCAAACTCGAATTTATCATTCGTGCTTACAGGATTGTTAATATAGACAAACCTAGCATCTTCTTCATTGATCTCTTTCTGAGACATACAATACACCTCTGAATCCGCCCTCCTGGATCCATACAACACAGGCTTAGACCCTAAATCACTGAAAGCAACTTCCCCAGTGGAACCCGCTCGAGAAGTACGGGAATGATGCGCAGAAGCGCTTCTCCTCGAGTTGGAACTCGGAGTGATTTCATTGTTCAAGGAGCTGTCGAACATGATTGGGGAAGGCGAATCCATTGTTCAATCGAAACCAGCAGGAGGGTTTATCGAAAGTTGGATCTTTTTCTTTTCCTCGGCGGATCAGGACCAAATGGAGAGACTCATGGACCCCAGAATCAAGTGATGCCTCACATAGGCCATGATCTGGAGAAAAGATCAAATGGCTGCTGAGAAACACAGCCAGCTGACAAGGAGGAAGGGTTTAAGAAACACCCAGATAATTATTGGACCAAAAACACAGAATGTGACCCGAACCCAAGTAGCAGATTCCAAAACAAACAGGCATGAAAGGAAGGCTGCCGGAGTGAAGTAAAACCCAGAAGCCAAAAACAGCCCCGCAACAGAAATCAGGTGGCCGGCAGCCGAAAAGAATACCCCCGCTAGTGTTGCAGCTCAAGTTACCGGACGCAAAAGGGCTAATTGTGTCACAGAATGTAAAGGGGAATAGGTAGAAGAGAGGAGAACACCCGAAGCAGAAGAAAGCTAGCTTTGTTGATCAATGAGGAGAAGAATGAAGAAGATGCAATTGTAGAGAAAGTAAAAGAAGGGGACAAACGCACTGTTATAGCGAGGGAGGTGCGGAGGCCGGAGAGAGAGGACGGCTGACTGGGGAGTCTATTCCGAAGACGAGTTTTTCACAACCGAAACACCCATATAGACGAAGAAGAGCCATAGATGGGTGGCGACAACGGCATCTCCAGCCTCCAGGCAACTCCCCTCCTGAATATAATACAGAAATTTCCGACTTTCATTTGTGAGTGGATGGATGGCCTTCCCGTCTGGAAATTCAAATTCAAGAACTTCCTTCTGCTCCTGCCACCGTTTTGCGCTGCGCTATTGTTTTAGGGTTGATTTGGCTGTTGGATTTGTTTCATGGATTTGAGATTAAATTTTCAAGCACGATGAATTTTATTCATTTCGATTGTTTGTTGTTGGGTGTTAAATTGGTGGGTTCATGAATTTAGGGGTCGTTTGGAAGTTGTGATTGTTAGAATTGTGTTTGTTGAATACGGGGTCGTTTGGAAGTTGTGATTGTTGAATACATGTATTGTGCACAATACAATGTTTGGAAGTGTCAAAGTGTAAAACAATGCATGCATTGTTTTAGATAGGTCACACCAACAATCACAAAAAATGATGCACTATACAATCTCAAGGGGTCGTTTGGAAGTTGTGATTGTTTTGTTGAGATTGTCATTATGCATGTATTGTTTACAATGCATCGTTTTTTTATTTTTTTAGCAGAAACAATACATGGATTGTTTTTGTGATGTGACAGAAACTATCACTCATTTTGAGTTATTGTTATATCTCAACTTTTACTTGTGATTGTTGAGATAGTTGAGTTGAGATTGTTTTGTCTCAGCTTTTAGCTGATGTGACATACACAATCACACATACCAAACGTTGTATTCTACAATGCATCAAATTCGACAATACATGTATAATATTATACATGCATTCTCAACAATACATCTATTTAACAATCGCAACTTCCAAACGACCCCTAAAAGTTGAGATGGTTGTGATTGTTGGTTTTAGATTTGTGTCAACTTTTTCTTTCCATTGATATCCTTAATAGTTTTTGTCTTATTCTAAAAGTTAAGGGTAAATGTGACATTTCCCCATAAAGTAACTTTATGTAAATCAATGCATAAAATAGAATCTCAACAACCAAACAATGTATTGTTAAAATACATCTATTGTATCAATACATGCATTTGTATTATGGTGATTCATTACAATGCAACGATTTAACATTCGCAACTTTCAAACGACCCCTAATTTAATTTTGAGATCCAGATTTGTGGATTAGGAACTTGTAAATCCTACGTATTGAATTTGGATTTGTAAAGTTTTTATGGTTGGTTATATATTACAAATTCATCATAATTATTTCATCAATCTATCATGTAAAAAATACGCTCTTCAAATCCATAATACAAAAAATCCATCATAAATTCAAAAAAAATAAAATCCTCATTTTTCAAATTCAACAAGCAAACGTCCCTTAATTCACCGTATTTGTCTTTGCAATAGTAAAAATTAAAGGCACAAGCCAGGTTAAACCACTATGTTAACTAGCTTATAGCTCGACTCGTCGGACGGAGGTAGCTTAGACAATAATCCTTCCTAGTATCTCTCACATTGGCGTGGACAATGCTTAAATCCATATTGGACAACAATTTTCTTGCAAGTTTGGAATCCCTCGAGTGTAGTTAGGAAGTAGAAAGAAGTAATAATATTATTCAATCATTCATAATATGGGGTAATTGCATGGTTGGTCACTAACATTACAAAAAGCGTTCATGTTTGGTCACTGAAAAAATTTAAATCCATTTGTGGTCACTAACTTTACAAAAAGCGTTCATGTATGGTCACTCTCCGTTAGCTGCCGTCCAACGCCGTTAACGGCCTCCGTTAAGTGATGACGTGGCTGACGGATTCGCCTAATCAGCACCTTTTGACCCTAAAATTGACCGCCACGTCATTTAAACCCGCCATGTCAGCTAAACCTAACCAAACCTAACCAAACCTCTACCCAAACCCGAACAGACCCAACCCGCTAACTAAAACCAAACAGAACCAGACCCCAACGATTTTTGGACTAAACCCTAATCTAATCGCGCAGCCTTCCTCCATCGCGCAGCTTAGATTAGGACTCACACCTTCCGCCTCACAGCTCAGCAGCTAAACGACATCGCATCCGCGGCTACCTCCGCCTCCACCGCCAAGATCTCCCGTTTCGATCTCCTTGCGGCGATCCTATGGAAATCGGTGGCCAAGATCCGAGAGGCGACGACGGTGACGATCTGCTGGAACAAATACCCCGCGGCGGCGGGCAGGGAGCGCGAGCTTCCGAGCAACAAAATGGCGGTGGGAGCGGTCCACGCCGATTTCGCGGTGGCGAAGTGCGAGGTGTCCGAGCTGGCGGAGTTGATTGCGGAGAGGAAGGAAGACGAGAGCGATTCGATCGAGGAAGCGATGGCCAGCGGGGAGTTCGATTGCGTGGTGTACGGAGCGAATTTGACATTTGTGAACCTGGAGGAGGCCCCGGTCTACGATCTGCAGATGAAGGGGCGGAAGCCGGTGTTTGCGAATTGCAAGATTGAGGGAGTCGGCGAGGAAGGGGCGGTGCTGGTGCTTCCAGGCGGCGGCGGCGGCGAGGGCGAGAAGGAAGGGGAGGGATCTGGGAAGACGGTGACCGTTATGCTGCCGGCGAAGCAGTTGGCCGGGTTGAAGGAGGATCTAAGGAAGAGCTGGGGAATTGTATGAGGTGTTTACTGTTTGGTTTTAGTTAGCGGGTTGAGCTGAGGAAGCTGCGCGATGGAGGAAGGCTGCGCGATTAGATTAGGGTTTAGTCCAAAAATCGTTGGGTTCTGGTTCTGTTTAGTTTTAGTTAGCGGGTTGGGTCTGTTCGGGTTTGGGTAGAGGTTTGGTTAGGTTTGGTTAGGTTTAGCTGACATGGCGGGTTTAAATGACGTGGCGGTCAATTTTAGGGTCAAAAGGTGCTGATTAGGCGAATCCGTCAGCCACGTCATCACTTAACGGAGGCCGTTAACGGCGTTGGACGGCAGCTAACGGAGAGTGACCATACATGAACGCTTTTTGTAAAGTTAGTGACCACAAATGGATTTAAATTTTTTCAGTGACCAAACATGAACGCTTTTTGTAATGTTAGTGACCAACCATGCAATTAACCCTTCATAATATCTCTAATATTGGCGAGGACCTGATGACGATGCTTAAATTCATAATGGACAATAGTTTTCTTGCAAGTGTGGAATAATTAGGAAGTCGAAAGAAGCAATAATATTATCATGAAATGGTTGGGTAGAGGAAAAGTTCATTTTTTGGGTACTCCGGAATATATATAGTGGAGACGAGGTGGGGTCTCTTGCTCAGAGGATTAGAGCACGTGGCTACAAACCTTAGTGTCGGGTTGACTGAAAGGATAGGGGGAGAATATATGAGCTCGAAGGGCGAAGGTTTAGAATATATGAGTTCGAAGGAAGAAGGGAACGAAGTTGCTCGGCTGGAGTAATCTTATGCCCCGAAAAACAAGCCTCTTCATGGCCTTACTCTGCATTCTTTCTGGTTGTACTAAGCAAGAGCCTTGTCCCTCCCTGGTAGATGCTTTTCACACTCTCTTTGAGAAAAGTAAGTAGGATATAGAAATTGAAAAAGAATCCCATAACACAAGGAAAGTGAATTCAAAAGCGTGACAAGGGAAAATGGGAAGAAGTCAAAATGTTTTTTTTTTTCATTTAACTACATACGAATACGATGATCATGTTCGATTTGATTCTCTCATATGTATACAATGACGAGATGACAAAAAAATGAGAGATCTTAATTCTTACATTCAATTTACTACGATTACGTGTCCAACCATTCTCGTTGTCGTTGTTCCCAGTATGAATCTATTGCATTAGTTAGTTAGAAACAACTCGACGGAAAATCACCCCATGTTTGTTATACACACATAAGTTCATTCGACCGGTAATCTTGATGACGAAGCATTATAACGTCGTTATCTCTAGCGACCGGATGCGGATCGACGACGGCTGAACAGCTGTGATCATCACTCCGACGGCAGAACAGTAACCATATCCAGATAAACGGATCCCAGAATATTCCATGGGCGAAACGGCGGAAGGCGGTCTTCCCCACCCACGCTCGCGCGAAGCCGGGCTCGTGGCTCAGGCCGTTGAGCTCCCGCGACGCGACCCGGCATCTCGCGATCGTTTCCGGCGAGCAGCGGGTCAAGATCTCGAACAGGATCTCCGGCGGCAGATTGGCGCACCCCTCGGGCTGATCGCATCGTCGGCGTCGGCGTCCCATAATCGATCGCTAGATAATGCTAAAAGGAAATACGCTCTAAAGGGAAAGTGATGGTGAAGATGAACTGATTGAAGGAAGTATTACTTATATATAGATATATTTGGCAGTCGGTTTTGGTTGCGGAAACGGAAAGTATAGCTAGTGCCGGCGGGCGGCGAATGTAATCCTTTTCCTGTTTGGTGTATGGAAATTGCCGGTTCGGTTCGCTCGGCGGCTCACAAAGTTTCATTTTTCCTGTTAGTGTATGGTAGTTTCTACCTGGTTCACAAAGGCGCGCTTAACCTTTACGTCTAGACTCTAAATAATGCCAAAATGTTTTGTTTAGGGGTTTCGCGGCTAGTTAAATATTAGAAACGTGTCAAGGGAGTAAGGTGACATCTAAGTATCTCCAAAATACATAATTAGATGGAGCTAGACAGTCAATATTAAAGAAGAAAATTAATATAAACTATGAACTCAATTTTCTATGTCAATAATTGACTTTGCGGAAAAAAAAATTCTATGTCAATAATTTTAATATCTCGTCAATAATTTCAATATCTCAAGAACTTTGTCAGCTATTGAGCTACTATTCTATGAATTTTTGAATTATTTTTCTATCATTAAGTGTTAAATAAGTTATTCATAATTTTAACTGAAATAATGAAGCATTTTTAATCATTATTTCATTCTTTATATAGTTCAAATAATTATTTTTCTTGTTGGAAATGAATGCAACAGAAGAAAACTGAATGTATTGGAAATGTGGTAATTTTTGCTTGTTGAAGGGTTGGACAATGTTTGAGGTTTTTACTCGACCTGCTCGGTTCCTACTGTATGGTCTGCAGAGGAAGGACATTGGCCCTTCCTTCTACACCAAGAAAATGTTTTCAATCTTTGATCAGTATTCTTTTGGCTCAGGACCAAATCGATAGAACATCAAGCTATTCAATTACAATAATGTTGTTTGTCACAGCATAATCTTAAAAGTGTCCACTTCTGCAGGCAGCAAAGTGAATCTGATAAGTGAAGTAAACTTGGATGAAGTTTCAGACATGGGCGAATGGATGAAACAGTGCCTGATCTGCACTCTTAGTTGCTCGCGAGAAGTTGGGAATGTGTAACCTATGGATCAACCAAAACGATGTGCGGCAAAAGGATTAAGAACAAGTGATTTCAGTGTATCAGATAGGTCGTCTGTTTTCAACTTCTTGAAACTGGAGCAACTGGCCTCTATTAAGTATTAACGGCTTCCAATGGTGGAGTTGATAGCATTATCCTTCAACGATTTTCACAGGGGACCTGCCAAATTGGAAAATTTTGAGTAGTGTTAATGCTGAGTATGGAGGCCTTTCAGCTTCAATGAAACAAGGTTAACTTCTGCAAGACAACAAGTCTACAATTTACCCAAAAGGACTTTGTTTGATGGAAAGAAGTTCAACATCCATCTGCAATTCCAGGGGTAGATCAGTAAGTTCTATTGCTTTCAGCATAGTTAGTGAAATGGGATTGTAAAACTTTTTACCTCTATGGTTGCATTTGGAGGAATTTCCTGAACTCCTTTCTTTCCATATGCCAGCTCCGGAGGAACTATCAGCAGACGCTGCATTAACCATGGTTTCTTTAAGATACTAGCAATTCCACAGTGCCATTGCCAAGATTACACGACATAGAATAAGGAAATGTAGATCCGTGGAAGCTGGGAAACAGTTTTCCGGGTTGAAGTTTGCAGCTTTTCGAGGATTCAAAGCAAAAGTTCATTAAGCACAGAACAATCAATGTCATTGTGCAGGGATAAATGCTCTCTCCCGACTCACCTGGCCTCCAACACGCATTCCTAAAACGCCGAGGTCTAGCCCTTTGAGAACATTTCCCCTCTCGGATTCACCAACATCAAATCCATAAGGCTGCAAGCAAGCAACAACAAAGCTAAAAGAACATCAGCTATCGAGCGACGAGAATGATCCAAAGACTGAAAACCGTCCTCACCGTTCCTCCACCAACACCAAGTCCTTGTCTACTGGTCATGAATGTGATTCCTTTCCATTTGGCAACATAGTGAACCTAGAATTTGAAGAACAAACTGCCCCATGAATCTAAAGTTCAGCAGTGTCTGGAGAAGCAAAAAAAAAAAAAGGGCTTTATGTCAAACTGAAGACAAGCAATCAAGGCACAAACCGTACTGCAACCCGAGATCCCTTCACAGCCTCTGGACCTCCGCCGACCTTCAAATCATAATACCTGAAAAGAAGCCAGTCTTGCATCAGAATAATGCATGACATTGTAAGATCACTTGCTCGTAGACAACACTGAGATTTTCTGGGTTTACTGACTTCAGACCATTAGGAAGGGTTTTGAATTCCTCCTCTGGTACTTTTGATCCCCTAAGCTGCACCAACCCCATAAAACGAGAACAGTTTCATCATATCTCAGAAACCATTTTAACCCCTTTTTTAACAGATGAACCATGAGAAAGGGAATATTTAAAAGGGAACTCACAGCTCTTCTGCTGGTACTAACAGCCTCAGCAGCATCACAGGCAGCAATTCCTGCAGCTGAACGCACACAGATCGTATTTTAACCCGCGACAAGAACCAGTTCGTACGAAAGCAAGCGTATTCATTGTACTTGCAGTTTGCAGAGATCCATCCAGCTTAACTCGGAGGTCAAATTCAACTAGGGTTTCGAATGTTTGAATGCTTTACATGATCAAAAGCTCTCTAACAATATGACAAGAACCCATTCATCCCAGTCCTTCCTACAAATAGAAACTAACCGGTTGATGCAAGAAGATAACCAAAAATAGCCCTTCTTCCCTCCTTCTGCTGCAGAGTTTTCTCTGAAGAAGGCAAAGAACAGCGACATGGGAAGGGGACTGAGCTTCTTCTTGTGATGGGTTGGCTCTTCCCTGGCCAATATTCAGTGCAAAAGTTCTCAACTTTAAGAAGAACCCAAGTTGCACTCATCAAAAGCTAACAAGGAGAAGATTTTTACCAGTTGAAAATGAAGCTAGCGGCTTTCGGAATAGAATTGAGCTGCGCTGGTAGCAGCAAGGGAAGGGAGAGACTTCCATCATTTCTGTTGTACTTCAATTGGTGGTCAAAATGTTCTGACAAATTTCAACGTGGGATAGAGATAGAGGATAAGATGGTAAATGCCGTCCACATAACCATTTTCTTCCCAGATTACAATCTTACTCCACGTAGGCATGTGCTTTTTGATGGCGATGAACTACAATATCTATTTAACTCTTGATATTTGCAATAACACGTGCATCAGTATCAGTACAGATCGAAATATACGACAAAAAATCTTTCATGGGATCGCTGTTTACCAAATCTTCAAATGGCACCTTAATTTTGATTATAAAATTTGCATCACTAATAAGTCAAGCTGAAATCCGAATCCAATACTATAATGAATCTTTTGGGGTCCTTGGATATTTAATTCCATGCACATGTGACAAATCTGTCACAACAAACACTCGTATATGATTATCATGGCATAATAATGTGATTTGATTATCTAATCCCTTTTTGGAGTTTAAATTTATGTGGAAGCTTCATGGAAGAGTTCAACTACCCACCAGAATGATTAAACAAACAAACCCATTTTGATAATGGGAAAATGGTTGTAATCTCCATTATTGGTAAGTTTATCATTCCGATGGAATTGCATAGTATAAGACTACAAGCTTAGAAGGGTTTAAATCTGAGACTCATATTTTAAAACCATTATATCTTTTAAATTTTTAATAATTTAGAACAAATATCTAAGTTACAACGACAACTACTTGAGAAAACTCTACGCATTTTAACTCTAAAACCTACTCGAGTCGATCTACAAGCATTGATAGAGAGCATTACTTAATTTGACGTTAAATTGCTATAAAATTGAGAGCCAATTTTTTTTTTTTACAAATTATTTAAGTTAAACATTTTGGCATTCAAACTTAAAAAATATCAAAGAGCTTTTTTCAATAAAAAGGTACAAAAAAAAAAACAAAATTAAATAATGGTCCGGAGCTTATAGTGGCCCACAACTTGCAAGAAAGCCCATGAAAGTCCCAACCAATGGGCTTAAGTCAGTTTTGGTCATTTTTACTCACCGTTAGCCCGTTACCCAGAACCGAGTGCGGATCTGGTGACTAAGGGGGTGCTTAGTCACTTGGCTAAGCCCCTCCTAGCCATTAGATCTGGACACTTCAATCCAATGGTTAAAAAGTGGGAAGGGCTATTTAATTAATAGCAGGGGTAGTTTGGGTATTATGAAAAATTACGAAGTATACAAACCGGATTTACAATCAGTACAAACCATACAAACATACGAACAGTACAAACTAGAGCGACAAAACATACAAACATTACAAACGTATGAACTGTACAAACAATACAAACTAGACTGACAAACAATACAAACCATACAAACATACGAACAGTACAAACTAGAGCGACAAAACATACAAACATTACAAACGTATGAACTGTACAAACAATACAAACTAGACTGACAAACAATACAAACCGTACAAAAAGAAAAAACAACCGGGTTGACTTTGGAGGCTCCATCCCTATATAGAGGGGCTCCTTCCCAAAGTCAACCCGGGTGTTTTTTAGACATACAAACAGTACGAACATGGTGGACAAAAATGACAAACTAGACCGACAATCCATACGAACGGGAAAAAACACCCGGGTTGACTTTGTAGGCTCCATCCCTATATAGAGGGGCTCATTCCCAAAGTCAACCCGGGTGTTTTTTAGACATACAAACAGTACGAACATGATGGAAAAAAATGACAAACTAGACCGACAATCCATACGAACTGGAAAAAACACCCGGGTTGACTTTGGAGGCTCCATCCCTATATAGAGGAGGTCCATCCAAAAGTCAACCCGGTTGTTTTTTAGACATAAAAAACATTACAAACATGGTTGACAAAAATAACAAAGTTTACAAACATGGTGCACAAAAATAACAAAGTGTACAAACATTACAAATAAAACCGACAAACATTACAAAATAACAAAGTATACAAACATTACAAAATATGTCAACAAACATCACAAAATTAGCACCGTCGCCGGGAAATTCTTCTCCGGCGACGATGTTCGTCGGAAAAAAATTTCCGACCAGAAAAAATCTCTCTCTCTCTCTCGTGGAAAGAATCAACTTGGGGATAAAATCCCACAACAAAAAGTGCAGAGCAGCGGGGAAAAAAAAAGTGAAGAGCGGCGGGAAAAAAAAAAGAGGCGGACGGCCGAAAAAAAAAACGAGGCGGACGAGCAGGGAGAATGACCCAGAAATAAATTATTTAATAATTGAAAATAAAAATAATCATGAACTTACAATTTTGCCCTTCATTAAAGTAGATTAATTGTAGTCATTAGATTTTAATAAGATGGAAGGGCTGAGATTTACTTAGTCATGTGACTAAGGGACCCCCCTTAGTCACCTGATCTTAGCCCCCAGAACCCGCACAAGCGCCCGCCTTCTCATACTTCCAGAAATCACCACGCGTCTCTCACTAATTGGTCCACACAAAGTTAGTGAAAAATGCGGCAAGTAACAGAAATGACAAAACCCCCCCACAAAACTTCCTCTCCATAAGAAACCCCTCTTCTTCTTCCTCCTCCTCCTCCCTCCAAAAAAATTATATAAGCGAAAAATCAAACTCTACGCCACAAAACGCCGCTCTCTCTCTCTCGCCACTTGGTTGTTGGTCCCAATTTCCCAACCCGACGAAATGGAGGCTCTCCGCCTAGCGCCGCAGCAGCCGCCGCTACTCCGGCTGCACGGCGCCGCCGAGTTCCGCGCTCCCCTGGCGCTAGCTGGACGAATTGGAACAAGAACGAAACCGTCGTCCAAGCCGTTCAATGTCTCCGCCACCCTGTCGAAACCTGCCGCTGAGATCTCTCCATTGCCGACGCCCTCCCGCGACAATTCGCTTGCGGAGACGGAGGAGGCGGCGAAGGTAGCTGCTCCACGGAGGAAGGTGTCTCCGAGCTCGCTGCAGTACCCGCCCGGCTACCTCGGGGCGGTGCCCGATCGGAGCGGAGGATGTGGGGGCGACGACGACGTCATCGGGGCCATGGGGTATTTGACGAATATACTCTCGTCGAAGGTGTACGACGTGGCGATTGAATCTCCGTTGCAGTTCGGGCCTAAGCTCTCGGAGAAACTCGGGGTCAATGTCTGGCTCAAGCGGGAGGATTTGCAGCCTGTAAGAAACCATTCGTTTTGATTGAGTTGGGATATTGCAGAGTGTAGTTTAATTTGGAAAAAGGGATTGATGTTTCTGATAGTGATAGCACTTTCTCACTTGTTAAATTTGGGGAATGGGGGTTACTTTACTTGTTCTTGTCCAAGCTTCAGAGGTTGGGATTCATTTCCTTTTCCATCATTGGGATGCAGGTATTTTCATTCAAGCTGCGTGGTGCATACAACATGATGGCAAAACTTACGAAGGAGCAGTTAGAAAGAGGAGTGATCTGCTCTTCAGCCGGAAACCATGCCCAAGGAGTAGCACTAGCTGCCAAAAGACTTGGTTGCAATGCTATAATTGCCATGCCTGTAACTACCCCTGACATCAAGGTGGGACTTTGATTCTGTCTTACTATTACCGCTCCTTTCTATACTTCCTTTTTGTATTCACTTTTGATTCATGTCTGCTAATTTTCTCTGCAGTGGCAATCAGTTGAGAGATTGGGTGCTACAGTTGTTTTGGTGGGAGACTCTTATGATGAGGCACAAGCATATGCTAAGCAAAGAGGCCAACAAGAAGGTTTGACCTTTGTACCTCCTTTTGACCACCCGGATGTGATCATGGGACAAGGAACTGTCGGAATGGAGATAGTGCGCCAGATGCAAGGCCCATTGCATGCCATCTTTGTGCCTGTTGGTGGTGGTGGATTGATAGCTGGCATCGCTGCATATGTTAAGAGAGTTAATCCCGATGTAAGTTCCCATATTCCATGAGAACTTCTAGTTCAGGAGGATTTTACTTGGGGTAAAGACCAACCATTTCAATCACTTAAAATGCAGGTGAAGATCATTGGGGTAGAACCAGCTGATGCAAATGCGATGGCTTTGTCGCTACATCACAATGAGAGAGTGATGTTGGACCAGGTTGGAGGTTTTGCAGATGGTGTGGCTGTTAAAGAGGTTGGGGAAGAAACATTTCGGCTATGCAAGGAGTTGATAGATGGGGTGGTTCTTGTCAGCCGTGATGCTATCTGTGCTTCGATTAAGGTAAGCACTCTTACTTTCTTGTTTCCAAACTTTCCATGGAATGTTTTAATAGCATCAGCACTATTTTCACCAGGACATGTTTGAAGAGAAAAGGAGCATATTAGAGCCAGCAGGTGCTCTAGCGCTTGCTGGAGCTGAAGCATACTGCAAATACTATGACATAAAAGGCGGAGACATTGTGGCAATAACCAGTGGGGCGAATATGAACTTCGATAAACTGAGAGTGGTCACTGAGCTTGCCAATGTTGGTCGAAAAAAAGAAGCTGTGCTTGCAACTGTCTTGCCAGAACAGCCTGGGAGCTTCAAACACTTCTGTGAATTGGTTTGTTAACAACATATCATTTCAGAATGGCAGTGTTCTTCTATAAACGTTTCGGCATCTCACTTCTGATTCTCTCTTTTGGGTGACAGGTGGGTCCTGTCAATATAACCGAGTTCAAGTATAGAAGTAGTTCTGAGAAGGAAGCTGTTGTCCTGTACAGGTCCGTGAATTGAAGTTGTAGAAATGTTCTGTAGAAATGTCATTGTACTTGGAGTTTTTATTATCAATGGTCGCTGTAAATTTGTTGTTGGTCAATTTTTCTCTACCCTTTTCACGGGAATACTCTGTAATACAGGTATGCACTATATTATGCTATTTCATGGTGAGATGTTGATGATAGACTGGCACTTCCTTTTTTCGATGATATCGTATGCAGTGTTGGCCTCCATATGGTATCTGAACTTGAAGCGATGAAGCAGCGTATGGAATCTGCTCAACTAAGAACTTACAATCTGACTGAAAGTGATTTGGTCAAAGACCACTTGCGCTATTTGGTAATTTGTTCTCCTTTATAAGGCTTCTATTAGTCCTTTATGTTTCCCTCATTTTCACATATGGAAAACTTGTTACTCGCATCAGAAGTCTACTTTGCTTTGGTTTCGCAGCTCAACCTTTTGTTTTGTCGTTTACAGATGGGCGGCAGATCATCTGTTGAAGATGAGGTTATCTGTCGATTCGTCTTCCCAGAAAGGCCCGGCACTCTGATGAAGTTTCTTGATGCATTCAGTCCCCGATGGAACATTACCTTGTTCCACTACAGAGGCCAGGTTTGTTTGTTCTCAAAGACCTTTCCTTCTTTCTTAGATTCATGTTCCTCTATTCAGTCGCTGTATATGAATTTTCCCAAATTGTCAGGGAGAGACTGGCGCTAACGTGCTGGTGGGAATCCAAGTCCAGCAGAGGGAGATGGACGAGTTCTACCTCCGCGCCAATGATCTTGGATACGATTTTGTTGTTGTAACTGACGATGACAAGTTCCAGCTTCTGATGCATTGAGAAGTTGGTAGAGTAGTATTCGTCTTTGTAACTTGCTATGTGAGACACTCAAAATGATTTCTTTTTGTTGTAACCTACGATAGGTTAGCGTTTTCCCAATGTTGAATAGTCATGCTGGATAGTGACGGTTTGGCATTGGAGCTGTATGTAGAATAAAATTCCTTAAAAGCATTGATCATGTAAGTTTATGCTCTGGATTTAATTATAATATCTTGGAGCTTCAATTGCTGAATCCTCTATGGTTTTGCCAAAGAAGTTTGTATTGAGTAATGTCTTCAGTGACCATGCTACCTCTGATTCTATAGGTGAAGCTGACTTGTTGAACAAGTAGTGTGACCTCCAAAAGGGGAAGAAAGTACTGCAGCAAATTAAGACTAAGAGGACATTCTCCTGAATTTGATATAGCAGCTGTGGGTGGTGCATACATTTATTGACCAAGGAATAAAGAATTGTTTATTTGTCTTATCAAGCTTGTGCTTGTAGCATTGATTGAACTATGGAATCTAAGATACGAGGGACAATCCTTGAGAAAGCAGGGTTTGAGCTAGGATCTTACTAGTAGCTTACGAAGGGTGGAATCCATCCCAGAACACGTAATCTATAGCATTGGAACATGTACCCAGTGAGATTGAATTGCACAGAAATGAAGTCTCCATTACAGAAGTCTCGCAGCAAGCCTTCCTTGCTTCGAAGAACCCTGTCATAGATATGGTGAGCGAGTCAGTTATTTTGTATGGAAACATCAGATAATTTGACATTCACTGATATTTCGTATTACTGCTGTCACTAGGTTTATTGGTCAAGTTCAAGCGAGGAATGTAGATATCAAAGACAACAAATTTAAGCCCCGGGAGCTCTTGTACAAGGCTCTGAGAAGTTGCGTTCAGCTTTTGTTTGAAGGAGCTAGCATCCCAGTGATGGCTGCAGGCAAACACCCTGTTGGTGGCAGAGTTGTCACTCCAATCTTCCTTGCTCCAAGACTGTACAGGTTCTGTTTCCATCACCACTTTTCTCTTTAGTACGAACCAGATCACATTGTTTTTCGTATTAAGCAGCAAAAAAGTCTTGAAACCACATCTGAATGAAGTCAGCATAAGATTTCATGAACTTGTCAGACCACTGATCAGGTGTGTAGAGGGTGTTGAGCATAGGGTCGACATAGTAGTTCTGAACGAAATCACTGGTTCCCGTGCTCAATAGATGAATCCCTTTAGAGAATATGTCGGTGGATTTCTCGAACCCCACCTGGCTCTCAACTCTAGCTCTGGATTCCTTGTAGTTCTCTAGCTGCCTTGTCAATGAAATCGCTCCCTATAGACCCACCCACATATCGAACTTTTAACTCTTTTATAATATCTGTATAAAATTTGTATAGAGTCGATAAATTTACATATAGGTGGGCTGTTCCATCAAGCATGCCAGAGGCAGCTGAAGCAAAATTGGGTCCAGTCAGAACATCTCCCAAGCTCGCTTCTTGACTTAGATAGGGTGGGGGGTACGTGTCGAAACCCATATATTGAGCTGCATTTCTGAAACAACCAAACCAGAACAACTTTCATTAATGGCCAGCTTCCTATTGCAGAAAACCAAGAAGTAATCTTATTTCCACTATACCTGTTATGTCTATGGCCAGCTTCCCATTGCAAAACCTCCCAGTTGGTCTATGTTCGGCGAAATCCCTTCCAGAAGGAGGGAAGTTTGCCCTGATGAGAGTGATGAGATTGTTGTTGTTTCCCACGTCAGCGACCGAACCCCAAAGATGGTAAGTGATGGAACTAGAGGTTCAGCCACTGCCATTGACAGAACACCCATTTTTCTCTCTTCCTTCTTCCGAGTTCGCCTTTACCTCTTTGTGTTTATGTTTTGTGGAAGGGGTATTTAAAAGCCTGTCAAAGTGGGAACAACATTCCCCTAACAATGCCAAAGGAAGCCACTTTTGTTTCCTTTTCCATTCTTATATCATTCAGCATTTTGCCTAGTTTATTGGCTGTATTCCTAGTTTGGATTGAAACCCAGGTCACAGATGATACCAGAAGTTCCTTGTCTTGGTGTTTGGACCAAAGTTATGTTGGTTCTCACCTGAGCTGATTATCTCTGTGTTGCAGTAACGTCCATTCAAATTTCAGACTATATATTATAAAATTTCCATGAGAAAGATAGATTCTTTATTTCATTATTCCATCATCTGAAGCATTACAAGGGACTAGAGAGGACGGTTGGAGATGCTGCTTGGAATGAAGTTTTGTTAAAACGTAATGAGTTTATCTTCATGCTAGGTATTTGGTCCCTAGCTGCGTAAAATGGATGGTAGGGGAAGAAAGGACTGCATAGACTTGGGGCAAATGGGAACATTAATATAATGAATTTGATATAATAGTTGCAGATTGGTACGTGTATGTATTGAATCATAGAACAATGAATTGTTTATTTTGTTTTCTCAAGCTTGTGTTTGCGGCATTAATGGAGCTATGGAATCTAGGATATGAGGGACAATCCTTGTGAGAGCAGGGATTGGGCTAGGATCTTGTTAGCAGCTTCAGAAGGGTGGAATCCATCCCAGAACACGTATTCTGTAGCGTTTGAACACGTCCCGGGGGACATTGCATTGCACAGAAATGAGGTCTCTAGGACACCTGTCCCACAGCATGCCTTCCTCGCCTCGGCAAAGCCTGCCATGGATTTCAACAGCAACAAAATTGTGAGTTGGCATGTCTTTATGTTAGCAGTTGTTTTGACATTATAAAAAATTTGAGCGAATTTTTGCATTACCGTTGTCACTAGGATTTTTTATCAAATTCAAGAGGGGATTGTAGATATCGAAGACAACAAGTGTGAGCCCCGGGAGTTCTTGCATGAGGCTCTGAGAAGTTGTGTTCAGCTTCTGGTTGAAGGAGCTAGCATCCCAGTTCAGCCTCTCGACACAGTCGTTGCTTCCGTGGCCAAATAGGGTGATGGCTGCAGGCAAGCATCCCGTTGGTGGCAGAGTTGTCACGCCAATCTTTCTTGCTCCAAGCCCGTACAGGTTCTGTCTCATAACCCTTTCCTTGTCAGTAATGGTTTTCATATTAAGGAAAGAAAAGCTAAATTGAGTCATGAAACCATACCTGAATGAAGGTAGCATAAGATGTCATGAGCTTGTTAGACCACTGATCAGGTGTGTAGAGGGTATTGAGGATAGGATTGACATAGTAGTTCTGGATGAAGTCACTGGTTCCAGTGCTCAAAAGATGAATCCCCTTGGAGAACGTGTTGGTTGCGTTCTCGAATCCCATTTTGCTCTCCACTCCTGCTCTGTATTCCTTGTAGTTCTCGAGCTGCCTTGTCAATGACATGGCACCCTGCAGACCACCAACAAGAAGAGAGCGAGAGGTAGAAAATTAGATCTCCTTCACAGTGTCTTGTTAGAATGTGTAGAGTTGGGAAGCTTACATATAGGTGAGCTGTTGCATCGAGCATGCCAGAAGCACCTGAAGCAAAATTGGCTCCAGTCGTAACACTACCCAAGCTGGTGTCTTCGCTTAGATATGGTGGAGGGTATGTGTCGAAACCCAAAAATTCAGCTGAATTTGAGAAACAAACGAAACCAGCAGAGAACTTTCATTAGACCAGAATCAAACCAGTAGCAGATATTTGAATGGGAAACCAAAAGTTTAATCTTATTTCTTCTTTACCAGTGAGGTCAATGGCCAGCTTCCCATTGGAGAACCTCCCAGTTGGCCTATGCTCGGCGAAATCCCTTCCATAAGGAGGGAAGTTTGCCCTGATGAGGGTGATGAGATTGTTGTTGTTTCCCACATCCGAAACCGAGTCCCCAAAGATTGTAAGTGATGGAACTAGCGGGTCAGCCACCACAATTGAAGAGACCATAGCTAGAACCAGAAGTGAAGCACCCCACACAACACCCATTTTCTTTATCTTCTCCCTTCTTCTTCTCCACAACCAAGTAAAGCTTTTAAGTTCCCCTTTAGCTCTTTGTGTGTTTTTCTTTCTATCAGATGGTGAATGGTGAGAAGAGCATGCAGGTGGAAGGAGAATTTAAAGGAGTGGAATGAAACCATCTGATCAATGGGAACAACGTTGCCTAACATCGCCAAACAGAACTAAGTTTTGTTTCCTTTCCAGTTCTTTTCTTCAGCATTTTGCTTTGGATTTTGTTTTATGCCTACTTTGGTACGAAAAAACCAGGTCAGAAATCATACCAGAAGTTCCTTCCTTTGTTCAAACCTTGATTTTTTAAGTATTACCCCTTTTTGCATTGAACTTCCTTTCAACTATATTGTATTGTATGAGAAGATCGATTCTCTAGTTTGTTCTGTTCATTATTCCATCATCTGAAACATTGTAATGGCTGAGATTGAAGGCAGCCGGAGGAGATGCTTTTTGAATACAAGTTCTGTCACCAAGCTAGGTGATTTTTTAATGCTTCACCAGTATCTCTCAAAGTGAATTTCGTCGTATTAGTCGATTGTATTTGATTTCGTTCACATATAAAAAATGTTTATAGCTTTTCTGACTTTTCATGATGCTAGTATAATCTCATCACATTCGATTCATCGCGGTTTGATTATAGATATGTCAGGTAAGATCAAAGCAAACCTTGTAGCCATAGTATTAGTAGGTAAGAATTCAAAAGAGAGCTTTAAGATCGGTAATAACGTGTAAGAGGTTCACCATAGTGGTATTGTCATAATAAAATCATATTCACTTTGATGATGAAGTAGGATCCAACTGAGTGCTAGCTAGAAACTGCAAAGGCAAAGAAACATATAACAGAACTTGACTGTGTTCCATAAGCAATGTGCACTGAGGTTTCCCTATACAGCTAAAAAGAACAGCTGCGTTGATTGTCATTATTACATCCGAGCCCACTGCCACTTGACAATATGGAAGGATTACTAAGAATCTTAAAATCATCGAGCACCAAAACACTCATGCGCACGTAGCCCTTTCTAACAATTCCTGCAGTTCTCCGCTCTTGTATGCATCTGCAAAAAAAGCATTATCAAATGAATTAAGAGTCGCATATTATTGTACAGAGGCACAATCCGATGCTTTCCCTGATCAACAACAAGTGGAAAATAAGAACCAAACTCCAATAAAAGCGGGCTAAAGTGTGAGCAGATTAGGGCTGGTTGGAAGGAAGAGCAGAATTGAACCATACCATTTTATGTAAGCCAACGCTACTAGAAAGCAAGACTAAGAAAAAGGAGGCAACATAGAGAACAAACAGATGATCATCAAACCAAAATGGGAAGGTAGGCAGGTAGCACTTCATTCTGATGTCTTGGACAGATTATCTAATAAAAGTGATTTATTTATAGCATGACAAACTTGATGAATGTTCAAGGAAAAAGGAGAAAACTAATAAGAATTCAGCAAGCTTCATGAACACGGAAGGTGACTACAATGCAGATTCTCCATGACACAGTAGGAGTTATCACTCCCATCTTAGTATCTTACTATCCATCCACCAAACATAATGTTCACATTGCTACAATATATGCTCACTACCCCTGACTGATTCCACGGGTTCACATGGACATACGTGTGAAACTCGGCTGTCAGAACTCGTGATGCCTTGCTGTGACTAATGACCTAAAGGAGAATTTCTGCCTAAACAGTGTGTATAAGTTCTTTCCAGTAAATAATAAAGTCATTGCGTAGATGAAATGCACACTCTTGAAGCAAATTATCTATCGACAGACACTAGTAGAGCACAAAATTTCATCGTAGTGATCAAAATATAGACCTCATTCACCAAACATGGGAGAAATATATGTTAACCAAAAGGAGGGGACGAGGGGTATCGAAGGGTTTAGCCAAATTGTACGACAATAATGACCGTTGAACCCTGGCTTTGTTACGAGATATAATACGTAAGAAAACAATTTCTGCATAGAGATCACTAAGAACAGAATCGAGAGCAAGTGAAAGACTCCCAATGTAGAAGGTATTTATTTTGTGTGTGAAGGGCCTCCAAAACATTTACCAACTTGAATTATCTCAATGTTATTGATTGCTAGCTGAGACGCGAGGTCTCCCAACACTATCAAAATCTCAGCGAACAAAGAGAGGGTTCGCTCACTTACCAACAGTTATATCACAGCCACCGAAGAACTCTCCGTCAATATACAGCTGAGGAAAGGTTGGCCAGCTGGAGTATTCCTTCAACCCCTGACGTAGAAATTCATTCTCCAGTATGTCGATTGTTTCGAAAGGAACCTTGCACGAATTCAGTATCTGCACCACGGTGTTAGAAAACCCACACTGAGGGAAATCCTTGGTTCCCTTCATAAAGAGAAGGACTTTATGTGATGTGATCACTGTATCCAGCGTGGTCTTAAGCTCTGGAGTCAAAGCTGCACATCACGAACATGTATGCAAGTAAGTAAACAACTGATAAAGAATCCCTCTGCACAACTAATGGTGATTCCTCGCCGGATTAAATTCATTGATACATCCGCCCAAGAGTTGCATTAATGAATCTGTTTTTCAGTAACTGCAAGATTAATTCTCTAAGCTTGAGAACTCCGTCTTCCAGAAGAAGACCTAGATCGATGAATTGAAATCTAACAACAGGAGATTAACAATTGGGAGATGATGGTGGAATTGTGTGAAATCAAACAAGAGAGCAAAAGGATTGATACCACAACGTGGGGCGGCGGTCACTCTGGGGAAGTTGCTCTTGGCTTTCGTAAACCGAGGCTTATCAAACGCCGCCAGATTCGCTGATAAAGAAGGCGCGAATGGAGAGGAGGAAGCTTTCGATGCAGAAAACAATGAGAGCGGAATGGAAGCTTTAACTGCAGAGGACGATGCGGAAGATGGTCGGATTATCGCCGCCGACGGAGATGCGAAAACAGCCTGCGACGCCATATTCATAATTCCAGCCATCACTCTCCTTTCTCGGCTTACCTTTCCGTTTGATTTTTCTAACAGGAGAATGGTGAGAGATATTTGGCCTTTAGAAGAAGCAGCGGCGGACGTTGAATCGTTGATGATGATGATGACACGTGAAACGCTGCGTTTTGAGGTTTGACTCTCGAGTCTCTCAAGAGGGTAGACACGGTCATTTTGACTCATTTCTGTTTCGTGCAACTTCTCGGCGAAACTAATAGGGGTTCTCTGTGATATCACTCGCTTCTTCTTTCCGACCGATTCCGCTATGGACTCCAGCTCCGACGACGAGTTCGTTCTTCTCCGGTGGAGTAACCCGAACTCGACGGAGTCACTCGATGGCCACCAAGAAATTATCATTTCAGCGGCGGATATCGATAGCTGGGACTCGCCTGCTCTCGTCCGCTACGCGACGGTCAAAATCCGAGCTCAGCGTAGCAGGCAAGCTAAATTATGTGCTTCCTGATGTATAATGAAACCTGTTACTTGCCGCCGAATCGACGAATTGAGTTTCTTCTGTTTCCCGCTTCTTTTCGCAGGCTTGTCGAGAGTTGTTCGTATTTTCGCGGCCTGCTCGGCGGAAGCTTCCGGTTAGGATGTTGCTATCCGGTCTCGTTCGTTGTGTGATCTGTCCAGTCCGTTTCCCGTTTTCGTATGTTTCAACTTTGTTTGGCTTTGCGTCTTAATTCAGTGAATCGAACCTGAACGGCGTCTCGATCGAGTGGAGTTTGGAGCCTTTTGTAAGCGTTTTGAAGTGTGTGTATTGCTCTTCTTGCTCGGTGGATGTGATGCCTCGGAATTTCCTTTCTCTTCTAGAGGTTTGTTCTTCAATCTCCGTCTTGTGAAGTTGTATGAATGATCCATGGTGAAATGAAGGGATATTGTATGGTCTTTATGTAATCATGTTTAGTTTATTACTGCATTTTCAGGCTGCAATGTACTTTGGGGAAGAGACACTTCTCTTGAAGTGCAAGAATTGGATATCTGAATCTGAGTTACTTGAAGTGCAATTGGATGATCTGATTGAGTTTTGGAAGTTCGGTTTAGAGCATGGTGAGGACGTCTCTCATAGTAATTGCACATTTGAAGTGTAGGGGTTGTAAGGTTGTTGTATCTCATCGGCCAAATCTTTGATATATTGCAGCAATCGATTTTCTTTCAGAAGTTTCTGTGGGCTATCTTGCAAGGAAATTTGTACGTGATTAACTCGTTCTTCCATTTTTTCAAGTTCTGCAGAATTTTCTATCAACATGATGGTAACATTAAGTGGTAGCATAACTGCATTGAGTGTTAGCATGATGATAGTCATAAAGAAAAATAGTAGTAACATTATTTTTTTGTACTTGCAGGAGTTGATGCGGTCTAGTAAATCTTTCGGAGATGTTCCATATGCTTTGTTGTTGTCTTGCATTAAGCATCCTGATTTGACAATAGACAGGTGAGACAAAATATCAGCTCTGTATTCTAGCTGATTAATGTATGACGTTGTCTGCGGTTGAAGTATTCCTGTTCATATTTGACAGTGAAAAGCATCTAGCTGATGCACTTTTACATTGGGTTGGCTGTAATGTTGAGCCGTTAGGATCTTCAAGCAAAGGCCAAAATGTCTGTTCTGAAGTTCTAAAGGAGGTATATGAATTACTTCCAGGTTGCCATACATACTGGATTCTCTTGCAGCTTACAACATTCAACAGTAATTCATCCTTATGTAATATGCTGAAATCAATCTGAAATGGGTGTGTAGTAGATCCGAGTTTGCCTCCTGCCATTGCCATTTGTTGCAGGTATGGTAAAGATTTAACTGGTTTCTATTTAATTGTCTTTTGTCAATCTACATGTAGCACTTTGCTTACAGCACTTCTGTTTGCAAATTTTATACTAGGAAAGAGGCGTTCAAGGTATTTTTCAGTGCTTGCAGATAAAAGTACTGACACAATTGTTAGACTGATGAAAGTTCCTCCTGCACAAATTTTGGATGCCCTGGAACATGCTCACATGGGGAATGTTAGATTAAGATTGACAGAATACTCTAAGGTATTTGTTTTTGGATCCTGTTCCTTTAGTATAACATAAATGAAGCTCTGTTCTGAAAGATTCATATTCATCTGCTAAGTACCCCTCATAAAAATTATGTAATTATGGATTTTGAGCTGTGGTTAGATGAGAGAAAAATGGTATGTGATCTAGTTTTCCTTTGCAACTTGATGAAAGTGAAGTGAAAGGAGAAAGAGTTAATATTCTTTGTAATGTAGGAAAAATTGTGGAATGTACTCCAACTTGTAACGTAGAAGCAAAAGAAATTTGTGAAATACTGTAACTAATAGCTTGATAGCAAGTATATGTGTTGCAACCAGTTGATGAAAATTGGGACAGAAATGGTTTTAGCTCCTGTCTTAAAAGTTTCTTCTCCCTAGATTTTTGTGGTGGTTTCCTTGTTGCTCGTGAATCTTTCATGATTGAAGTCATATTCATAGCATCCGCTAGTTGTGTTGTCTATCATTCAATCATCTCAAGCTCATTTTTTAAGTTTTATGAATTAAGTTGGTGGCATTGCGAGTGCTCAGCTTGGATGGTATTCACTCTTTTTTCTTATCTAACTTTTGATTGTGTCTCTCTGTGCAGAAGATCGACCTTTCAGGTTGCCCACAAATTAATTCAGCCCTCTTGTTGCTATCACTGCTTCCCAATTCATATGTTATGGAACCTTCTTTGAAGAAGAGCGTTAGAGAAACTATTGTCAGCCTTGAACGTTTTAACAAAAATCAAAGTCAGGTTCCCCAGTCCTTACTTCCAATTCTCTCTTTAAAAGCGGTAGAAGAGGTGGATATATCTAAATGTCCAAGCTTACATCTTGAAGCTGCAATAGAGTGCTTCTCCATTTCATTCCCCTGCTTGAAAAAAGTAAAAGCATCATATCTTTTGAACTTCAAGCAAAGAACATTTCATAAATTGCTGGAGAAGTGCCTTCTCGTAGATGAGCTCGACTTGACTGTTGATTCTACTCCACTCATACCGGGACAAGTGACTGTCATGTCTTCTAGTGTTGTCACCTCACCATCGTCGACCTTTCCATATGCTAGAGTTCTGGATTCTTTGTTTACCAATTCAAATATCACAAGCCTCACTCTAGAGGGTAGAAGTGAAATAAAAGGTGAGATGACTATAATTTGTGTATAAGAATGTGTCAATGGTCAAAATGATTATCTTTAAGGCTATTCTCAGGGGACTTGGTCCCATATTGGATGAATGGGTACACTTGGTTCGATTTTCCTTTGTTGATGCTCTTTGCTTCTTATTTATTTGACAGATCTGGATCTCCAGCATGTGTCAAAGCTCTGTGCAACTTTGCATCACCTTAACCTTAAGGGCTGTGTTTCAGTTACTGATGCTGGAATATCAGATCTCCTGTGGAGATGTGCCCAATTAAGCTCTCTTTTAGTTTGCAATACATCTTTCGGCTTGAACTCTGTTTCTGCTCTCTGCTCATCCACTATTACAATTGTTGCTTCTTCTGATTCGTACACTGAGCAGAGAGATTGCCCATTGGCATGTAAGCTTCAGGCACTTCATATGGGTGGTTGTAAGGGTGAGTTTCATCTGTGCTTCATGTTGAAAGAATTTACAGAATCCTCCTATTATTTCTATCTTCTTAAGCTCCTAATGATTGATGGTAGATGTTACGAACTTGCAGGTGTTAATGAGAGATCTCTGCTCGAGCTAATATCTCGAACAAAGACATTGAGAGATCTTTGTTTGAGGGACACTGACCTTATGGACACAGCTCTTTATAGCTTCCCAGGTTTTTCCCTAGAGACACTTGATGTCTCTAACACTGTGGTCAGTCATGAAGCCTCATGCATCTCTTAAAATCATCCAAATTACATCAGTGTATACATAAATTTATTGAAATAATCTCTAGTACCATATATATTGCTTGATATATCTTATATAATCTGGAGCTCTATGTCCCAGTTATTAATTTATATTTTACCCTGATGTAAAGAATCTTCAGATATATGCCACTTATGTACTTGTGGCTTTTATTTACTTGTGCTTTTATTTCTGATGAGGAGCTCAATACTCTATCCATGCTTCAACATTGTTAGTTAACTCTAATTGTTGTTTACCCTGTAATTTTGTAGATATCTAGAGCATCTTTGGTTCACATCGTACGAGCCAATCCTATGTTGAAGTCTTTGAAAGTGAGGGGCTGTAGTAATCTGATTCAACAAGAAGGTATCACCAGGAAATCCGAACTTGCTTCCTCCTATTCAATTGTGGATGTATATGCTGAGCTAGGAGAGAGATGCATGCTGGAAGAGATTTCTCTTGGTTGGGGATTCACTTGCTCCTCATTCCAAGCTCTCAAACCTGCAATTGCATCTTTAAAATCATTAACTATTGGATTGGGTGCATCATTGAGCGAAGACACACTCAGACAACTCCCCGTAACTTGTCCCATGCTAGATGTGATCGTCCTTTATTTTCAGGTAAAACTTGTGAATAAAACTTTAAACTTCTGTACAGGTTTTCAATATGTTGTTCCTTAATGTTAGAATTTTGATTGGGGAACACTGATTTTGATTCTTTTCTCAGTTAATATCCGATGATATCATTGCAAGCATTACAACTTCTCTGAGGCACTTGCAAACGCTGGCGCTATCCTACTGTCTCGGTGATATGTCTGTATCAAGTTTCAGACCGTCATTGCCACATTTAACAAATTTAAGGCTTGAAAGGGTCGCTCCTTGGATGACAAACAATGACTTGGCAGTTCTTACTCAAAATTGTGCAAACATTAGGGAACTGACATTAGTAGGATGCAGGCTTCTTGATGCAGGTTCGTTGCAACTTCTCAACATGTCTACTTTTCCTGCATTGATAAATGGTTGCTTTCCTTCAGAATATTTGGGTAGTATTTTATTTCTTCAACTTTACGTTTTTGGCCTAAGCACTGCACTGCCTTGCTGCTTCACTTTTGCTGTGCAGACTCTTTGCAAGCCATTTCGAGTGGATGGTCTGGTCTGACCTCCATCCATCTTGAGGTATTTCCTATCTGCTTCTCATTTATCATCCACCCTCCCTTTGTATGCACTCCTAGTTAGGGACCGGCAACAACTCACTCCTTTTTATGGCTATCACTAGTAACTCAAGTGTATGAATATTCAAGCAGTTCGAATTCTGTTTTGTATATTTAGGAATGTGGAGAGGTAACAGAAAATGGTGTTTCTCCGCTCTTCAGCTGCATAGCACTTGAAGATATCTTGCTGCGGCATAATGTAAGCAGAATGCATCTGCTCTCTCCCTGCATTTTATTTCCCTTTGGGAGATCTTTCTGATTGATGGCCCCTAGCTCGTGAACAACATCTTGAGAAGCCATTGTTTTCTAATTCTCCCTTTCGTTTGCCTGCCTGGTCACCCGTGGGATCCTCGTGTTGTATACTAATAAACCAAGCTTCAACATACAACTTATACAACTTAAAGTCCTATAAAATGAAACTGGGACAAGAACATCCAGAGGAGACCACGCAGTTATGCTTCAACTGCTGACATATCTTTGTGCACTATATATGCAGGGATCTGGGATAAGCAAAGACTTCATTCTTGATGCTGCTGCAAAGGTAATTCCCCATTCACAATGTCTATATTTCGTTCTTATTGGCAGCATCGAAACATCAAGCTGCTATATTCTCCATTTGATCTCGACAGTTGCCAATGCTTCGGAAGGTATCGCTGGACCTATGTGATGCTCGTGAAGGTGATTACGATATTCCAGATGTAAGTCTGATACCTATACTGTGAATCAAACTGAAAGCATTTCGAATCAGTTGCGATCCAAATTTCGGTCTGGTCTTGGACCGTGACTGGATTTATCTACAGATTCTACACTCTCCAACTTCAGTCCATGTTCCGACTCAACGAATCCATACTTTTGTTTTTTTTTTCGTTTCTCCCAGTATGCTGGCAGGTGCTTCTTGAGCAGTGTGAAGATAGCGAGATGCAAATCGCCGCCGAAGTTCTGTGCCAACCTGAAGAGTTTCGGAAAGGTGCATAAAGAGACTTTGGCATTGGTGTGGAATAGTGAAAGCCTCACAAGGGCAGTTGTCAAAGAGAGACTTTAACACCAAAGAGATTGTTTGTATCGTGAAAGATACTTCAACACAAAGAAATTGGTTGTAGATGTACGCATCCTTGTCTGAGAGTAGCTTCCTTAAATCATCAAAACTACTGCGCTACTGGCTGTAAACTGTATCATGATTCATGAAAGAGAATCTTCTTGGGCCTTTGTCTGACTGGAGCCCATAATTTTCTGGCCGTACGGCTACCTCCTTCCGAAACGGCGGCGTATTCTCGTTCGTTTTGGGCCATCAATTAAATAAAGACGAAGCTTCTTGGGCCTTTGTCTAACTGAAGCCCATGTTTCTCTGGGCCAGACGTGTTGTGACTTGTGACTTGTGACTTTCACCTTCAACCGTCCTTCGTTCGAAAGTAGTAGTAAATCCCCAGACTCATCCTCGGATCCTCCCTCGCGGCTTTCTCCTTCCCGCTTCCTGTCCCTTCATCCTTCCTCTGTTCTCCGGTCACCCTCACCAACCGCCGTATCCAGTACGGGCGGAGAAAGGGACCGATTCGATTTCGGAGGTCCGTACATCTTCGCTCTTCGTTAACTTGTATCGTCTCCAGGGCTGCCTCTTCCTCAGATAGTTCGGCATTCTTCCCGGGGATTCGGCTTTGTTCGCGTGTCTGCTTCAAGGTATGCTAGATTTCCTAGCTCCTCGGAGCTTATTCTTTCAATTTCGATATCTTCGAGGTCATTTCGCGCGAAAAGTGCAGAACTTTTCTTATTAGCTTTAGGTGTATGTATGTCTGCAGTTTCTTGCTGTAGCGAAGTAAAACCTAGAAATTTAGCTCTCCTATCTTTTGGTGTCGTCGTCTTCTTCTTCTGCTAGTTACTGTTGACCGGCTGAGGATAAACTGGCATTTGGGTTTGCCTGTTCATTCTTCTCTCTTGTTTCTTTTGGTTTGGGGTATGCGTATGGTGGAAATTGCTTCAGCTCTAGTTGGTGGATTGTGTGAACTACTTTTGTACCATCTGCAAGGGCATATAATTAGGGTTGTCAATTGGGAAACCTTGTTCATGTTTTGCTAGAGAAGTTGTCTAGTGTGATGAGCTAGCGTAACTTGTATTTAAGGACGCTGCTAACTGTCTGGGTCGCTTCTCCATTTCGAGAAGCTGTGGTTTATGATAGTTACGATGTTTTGCAAGTATCTCAAGTCGAGATGCTTTGCATCGAGTAAGCCTCATTCGTATTTATGTTTCCATAGGTGTATCTCGGATGATGTAGAATGCCATCGATTAGGTTGCTTCTGTTCGTTCCCCTTTAGCATGGGAAAAATAGTGTGCTTTTGTGATGTGGATTTTTTTAGTGAATAGTCGATTGATTTGTGTTTTCTCTGTTCTATTGTGTTGAGTAAGTGGAATGGTTAATGCTACTCTTTGTTATGCAGAAAGCAAAGATGCCAAAGGTGAAGACGAACCGAGTCAAGTACCCAGAGGGCTGGGAATTGATCGAGCCAACTCTTCGCGAACTGCAGGCGAAGATGAGAGAAGGTAAACTCACTTCACATTGCACAGCATCGAGTAGAAACCCTTGTTATTTGCTATGTTCTAGGATGCTAACTGGTTGTTGAATCTTAAAATTTGACAGCTGAGAATGAGTCGCATGATGGCAAGAGAAAATGTGAGGCACTGTGGCCTATTTTCAAAATAGCGCATCAAAAGAGCCGATACATTTTCGACCTTTACCATCGGAGGAAGGAAATATCCAAGGAATTGTTTGAGTTCTGTATGGACCAGGGCTATGCAGACCGTAATCTCATTGCAAAATGGAAGAAGGTAAGTATTATTACCCTCACTCTGGCAACTCTCCTTCATGGCTCTGGCTGAGTTCTTAATGGTTTGGTTCATGCATGAGTGTCGTCTGTCGAACCTAGTTTGTTTGAATAGCCTAGTGTCGCTTCCAAAATGCTCTTTCATTGACTGGAACTTCGTCTTCCCATGATACTGCGTATTGAGTACATGATGCTGTGCAATGAACATGCTGAGTACTTATAAAAAGGAAACACGCTCAATGGGTATTTAGATAAACGTTGGTTAGACAGAATACTATTCCATTCGCTTTAGTTCTTCAAATTCAATGTCATTCTGTCCTTGTTATAGACTTATAGTCTGTTTGTGCTTGTAATATATACTTCAACAGACCTTAGTAATATTAAGTTGGTTTTTTCTCTCTGGATTTGTTGCAGCCTGGTTATGAGCGCTTATGCTGCTTGAGATGCATGCAACCAAGGGATCACAATTTCGCCACTACATGCGTTTGTCGAGTGCCCAAGAACCTGCGGGAGGAAGAGGTCATAGAATGCGTCCATTGCGGCTGCAGGGGATGTGCAAGTGGAGATTGATGAAGCCACTTGAAGCTCTGGCTGGGGACCGGAAATGGTTAGCTCGTCTGGCAAATGCTGATTGTTGTAAACTAACAGAGTTCCCACCCTGAATTACGTAACTGGCTTCTATAGTGTAATGGATCAAACAGAGTACCAGCCTACCAGGCATCAGAGTCTAGAAACTGTTGTACTCTCTCTTTCCCCTCATTGTTTCTTTTTTCGAAGACAAGTCGCCATGGAAGTCGACAGAGATTCGAATTCCAGAACTGGTAATCAAATCACCCTCTTTCCTTTAGTAAGGCGCATTTTATAGATTTGGAAACCAGAGTACGAGTAATATGCAGGCCAATAGCAGCATCAACATGGAATCCTGTAAAACCAAGTTCATGTTCCCGCAGCTGATTTCCTTTCACCTGCCTGTCCGATTTTCAGTTGAGCTTCAGGCCTACAGGAAGATTGGGCTTCAGGCCCTGGGTTTTGGGCTATCTGCTTGTGTATTGGGGAAAATGTTGGGCTGGGATCGGAAAGGATAACAGCCTAGTCATCTTTCTATTTGTAAAGGTTGAACTTAGATGTATGTTCCTTTCAATTTATGGGCGATCTTAGTTGAATTTTTACCACCGTCCACTCAAAACATATGGTGAAGACTTGGACAAAAAAGGTCACTAACTTTTGGTCCACATGCATGCCAATCATAGAAACTTTTGCCTTCACAACTTCACTAAAATCATCGATGTCGTCCGTCTCGGTGCATCAACTCATTCAAATTCGGAGTACAGTGTTATATACAATAACCCAATACCATGTAAGAGGACAAGCTGGTTGCTATAAACTTTGATTCTCTATAAGGCCTATTCTACCATTCGTTCTGTGCAGTTGGTCGACACGTACCAATCTCGAACAGTCTAAACGAAAAAAACCCAAAAAATAACGCTATATGGACAGAGTAGTTATTACGCTAGTTATTCGTCAAACTTCGTAGTACCCATTGGCCATGCCCATCTTCGGAGTATCCATGTACGTAAAGTCGCAATGTGTCAATTTTTCAAGTCCCATGCGTCTCTTCAATCCTTATCTCATGTCATATGGTAAAAGAAAAAAGGAGTACTAGCTACTTGAAGTTTCTGCTTCTTCATTAAACTCTTTGCAGTGCAGTTGGGGGGAAAGAAGAGGTATTTATTATTTGCTGTTGTTTCTGTTTCGGTCACACTTTTTTTTTTTTTATACATGTCGACACTTTCTCTTCTTTGAGAGGGATGATATATACTGGTGGAACTAAAAAGGGGAAAACCAGACCTAGGATAACTGTTCTGATCACATACTTCATCCCCAACATGTAACTTGACTGTTCCTAGGTTAATGCATGAGACAACGGCATGATTCTTTTGGTTTCGACCATCCATAATATCATACGATGGAACCACATTGAGATCAGAATCTCGAAATTAAGAATTCAACGTCACAGCCACTCTATCAAATTTGTGTTGAACCTGGGTTTAGACGATCCAACATCGGCAAATGGGAGGAAAAATATCAGTTTTGTCCCCCGTTTTACTTCTCTGGGTCTCTTCAAAGTGAAATTATTTGAATTATTTGGCTGTACAAAAGAACAAAAAAAATATAAAGTGAAATTATCAAAGTTGGTTAACGGTTTTTGGATGAATTTTTTTACAAAGTACAGGGGCATGTTTGATGTAAAAAATAGTAAAGAGGGCATGTTCGATAAAACATCATAGTAGAGGGGCATATTATATCTATAACCCAATAAAAAATATTGCAACACTAGTTATTAACGATGAAGTCCCGACTTGGAATCATAGGGTGGACTTTCCATTCCCCTCCATCCCACATTCAATATCTTTTTTCATAAATGAATTTCGTAACCGGATAGCTACATTAGTATGATATTGTCCGTTTTGGCTTTAGCCCGCACGAATTTAATTTTTAGATATCCTCTCCAAATAGCCTCGTTCAAACACAAAGTGTTCCTCCTCTTGTATTACTTAGAATTCTCCTATAACAGAGGATGATCTACAATAAAAGGGGAAAACCATGCTTGCATCCGAAACTAACACACTACTTATTGAAAACCAGTAATAGTACCGACGGATAAGTCCTCATTCCTTTATGGGACCAGTAGGATGCTCTAAAGAAACACTAACCAAATCTGCACTTCTAGTTCTGCTCTGTTTTTACTTCTGGGTAATTAATTAATTAGAGTACTAACAATAGTGGATGCACGACATTTTGTCACATTTAACGGGAACAATTAAACAACGAGAAAATGAATGTTGGGATATTGCTTGAAAGATCAAAGACACCATGAAACGACGCCATGTAAAATTTGTCTTATTGATCAGTGATCACGATATAGATTTACAGTCAAGATGGAAACTTGATTATCTCAGGAACATGTATAATTTAACTATTGAAAGATAGCAGACAGTGGTTGTCTGGTTGAGGGTAATAATAATTGTGTATAGTTAATTGGACGTGTAGTAGGAATCCTAGCTAGCATGCATTACCAACAAAAAAGATCAGATCAATCTGTGTTCTTCCTTTGGTGGAAAAATTAATTAAAATGGTTATATTGTTTTACCTAGGGCTGGTAAAAGGTACCGGCAGTTATCGGACTAACCGGTAACCGGTGGTTATCGGTATATAACGATAATTGACAGTGCCGGTATGCGGTAGTCAAGTTTAGGCAAACGGTATATCATTCTATTCCCGGTCAAATATCGTCGGTATTCTAGGATACCGCGAGTTACCGAAACCCGCAGAACCATTTTTTTTTTTGTTCCCCTCTTCCCTGCCTCACGAAGTGGCGTGAATCTTTTCTACCGACAAAACTGGACTCTCTCACAAAATTTACGGCCGAATGTGTGTCGGTTAACACACCTTGACTTTATTTGGGTCCTCCCCTGAGCACATGGTATCCAGACATGTGCACACTTCAATGTTCGGTGGCTTTCGTTTGTGAAGGTATGTTAGTAAGTGGGTTGACTACGACTAAGCAATGAATATATGCTTTCTTCCCCAACCCAAGACGATAACGAAGAGCTTAGCTTCTTCCATTCACCTTCATGAATCACAGTAGAGAGAGAAACCAATCTATAGTTAGATAAATGGACAAAATCCCAGTAATGTAGCGAATGAAATCTTAGTGGGCAACGTGCAAAGTGGAAATCGCCATGTGAATGTGATCTCTCTTCCTCTTCTCTCTTATAAGATTCCAAATACACGATCAATTATGAACCTTTCTCTTATTGTATAAATGTACCTTGTGATCGTATCTCTCTTTGTCTGCACCTAGAAATCTTGCCAGGCCCAAGTTCTTGTATATTCTAATGCTGCCCCAAAAAAAAAAAAAAAACAAACAGTCTGGTTTTCTCAAATTCATAGCTAGCTGTACGTAGCTACTGTCGTTATCGTTCTTGTTGTATAATTATTAAATTGTATGGTAAAGGAAATGAATGTTATTGTAAGGTCGTGAACTCATTAAACTAATGGACCTACGAAAGTGGACAAAGGGGTTGGTTGGTTTGCGATGTTGGAAATCTCTGTGGCTATACTTTTTTTTTTCTTTCATACATCTATTGTTTATGTTGTTCAAATGGTAGAATGAGTTGATGAGAATCAACCTAAAGAGGTTTTGGTACCACTTATAGCTAGGGTTCCATGAGTGTTGGGAAGTTACTAGAATCGTTTGAATATACATTAGAACTAGAGCAGTGCGCCGTTTTCCCCCAACAAATACAACCGAGCAAAGATCATTTTAGCGATGATTGATGAAGACGCCATCATCTTGTGACCATCAAGCACATTATAGCTCACGTTTTTCGTGTAAATACTTGTCTGACCCTCCTAGCAAGGGTCGTAATGCAGGATTTCTATCATACATTTATAAACTTTGTCTTATTTTGCTTAATTAGATTTCTCACGTCTAAACTGGACTTCGTATGACGAATTTTGACTTCAAATTCTGAACGTACATCGCTTGTTTTGCAGATCACAAATATCCTAGTGAAAAATCTACACACTCTCGATCGTGACCAAAAATCGATCGTGATCAATCCAACTCTTCTCAAATAGACAAGTGTCTCATCCTCTCCCCCTCTCTCTCTACTTTATTATTCCAATGCTCATGATCATGTGAGAATTGGGAGGAAGAACTAATAAGTAGACATTTGGGGTAATCAAGCGTTAATTTTTGGTACAAATCAATGTTATCAATACTATTTGAGATCATCAAGTGGCCAATTTCGATCTCATTAATTAATGCTTTCATTTTTTGCTCTTTTGAACTTGCGTGGTTGAAGCTCGCACGTATGCAACACGACGACTCATGAGGCTCTCATGACCATCCATATTTAATATCCCCAAATTTTCCACATAAAAATGCGACACATAATTAATGCCACAACCGCCCTCACAATTGATAACATCACATCCCTGCCTTCTAAATTCTAATCTACTATTTAGATGGCAAAATAATCTATCACTGTATATACTCAAGTGAATTTAAATCGTTTATTTTGAAGGAAAATCTAATCGATATTGTTTTTTGGTGGGTTTTTCTCAAACTCGACAAAGTGGGTAATGAATGACTTCGATGTGGTTTTTGATATTTTAAGTATCCGCACCGACTCTATTCGAATGTGTGTTGTAACTATGTTGCTCAGTTCATTCACTTTTAACACTATGTTCATTGATATCTTTAAAACTCTATAATTATCTCTTAGATCTCAATTCTTGTTCATTTTCTCTCCTTTTACAACTAATGTGACAAAAGCTTCATTTTAAATTGACATTCAAAGAAATTTTTAGAGTATATATAAAAATATATGATTATTTGGGGATGGTGCACGTTAATTTTCCCCGAACCGTATACTAATTAGTTATGAGGTTGGTTACGATTTTAAAACCGTGGTTTGGAGATGATATATATAAAAGCCAACCCCACCCGAATGATAAGGATATATGATTAATTCTTTAATTATTGTAATCTGTTTGGTTAGTTCCTAAGGTTTAGCTCCACTACTCCTATTTCTCTGCTACGTGTTGCTTGGCTCACGTTTATTCTGTTGTAACTTTGGGTATTAAACCCACAATTTGATTCAATGCAAAACATATCATTGAGCATTTACATGGTATCAGAGCTGCGCTCCGATCTCCTTAACCCTACAACCTCCTCCTAAAAATCGTCTTTCTTCTTTCTTTTCTTCCTTCTTCCCTGCCGATCACCATGACTCAAAACTCCGGTGAATCTGTTATCAATCTTGATAATCCCAACACAATTATCACTCTCAATCCCGCCGCTCAGCTGCCCAACAAACTCAATGGCGAGAATTTTCCCACCTGGCGTGCCCAGCTCGTCACTCTTCTCAGGGGCCTGGACCTTCTCAAATTTCTTGACGGCTCCCATCCTCCGCCGGCCTCCGATGCTCCAGCCGCTGATCGCACTCACTGGTTTCGTCAGGACCAGCTCCTTCTTCACTCTATCCTGGCGTCTGTTACTCCCGGCGTTGCGCCTTATGTTACTGCTGCTGAATCCTCTCGCGCAGCCTGGCTGATTTTAGAACGGAT